AACTACACTTTGAGTTGTAATCCAGTTATTTACCATCTTTGTGTTTGCTGTATTGTAATTTATGATGTTTATAACATAATATTGGACTTGTTTTTCACTGCAAATATTTTCAATAAGAACATAGGTTCATTAGCAACATGATGGATGATTCCTAGTTGCAACAAACAAGCCCTCACCTTCAATCATGAAGAATCATATTATTCTCTCAAACCACCTAAAAACTAATAAGTCCAGTTAAATGTTTTTGCTATTAAAACAGAATTCAATTTGAATTATCCTGAATAACACATTTAACTTAAAATAATTCCTAAGTTTATCTCAGATCCTTAAATTATTGGTGTTCACATTCAAATTTACATCTCTCTTTCTGTTGTTCTTCATTTGAATAGCCAGATTACTTCTTGTTTATCATCCTAAATGCATTTTAATACTCCTTTTATCAGACTGATGCCCTCCAGATAATATCTTCATTCTTGTGTACTAAACCTCCATCTTTTTATTAAGTATTCTTCAATTAAATCTATAAAAAATGATCCATATCCAGAGTGATGTTTCATCCAGTGTATGTTGTACATAAAGATATCGTTTCCTCAGACTGTTTTTTAGAAATGGACTGCATCTGCTTATTTTGAAAGAAGATTAAGTTTTGTAGTTAACTGAAGCATCCCAGGTATTGTTCTTCCAAGTGACTGTTAGGATCAAGCTTTTGTTACAATAACAGGAGACAGATTTAACACGGGAGTTACCATGCAATGTTTGTGCCTTTCTCTATGCAAATAACTCACTCTATTTGCAGTGGAATTATTTGCTTCAATTAGAGTTGCAGGATCAGAGCCATCACATTGACCTTTCTACATCTCAGCCACTGAAAAGCTTAGTTCTGTAAAATCAAAACTACCACCCCAAATTCACTGTTTTGCTCCTTTATCCCTCCCATGTTGATAGCAAGATGGGCCTGTTTATAAGCTTTTCATTTCGCAAGAACATGGTGTAATTTGGCACAATTCTTCATAGTTCTCATTTGTGCTGGTTCAGCTGTGTCTCACACATGCCCACTCAACTGATTTTACTCAACTGTGAGTAAAATCCCCAAATGTCAAAAGTCATAGATTTAGTTTTAAATATGAAGATAACGTAAGGCAAGAATGATAGATGTGGTGAAAAAAAAATCCTACTAAATTATACAAGTCTAATTTGTATTATTAGTTACTGACATAAATGCAGATTAGGATCTTCCTAAGGCAAGGATGGAATCTGAGTTTTCTGCAGTGCTCTGCTCATGTGATTTAATATTAACTACAAGGGGAAATAATGTTAATGGTGCCTCTTGGTACAGCACTGGTCAGTATTGTCTCCTGAAGATGAAAATTCTACTGAGTAGTAGAAGCAGGATCCTAGTTATATTCTAAGATCCAAGGAGTTTTTTCCCCCGTTGAAATTATTGGAAGCATTTTTACTGACTTCAAATGGAAAGAAGACTGGTGAGTGATTCAAAACCTGATGAAGTCAATAGGAATATTTTTTTTCTTTTCCACAGCATTTTGATTAAACACTTGGAGAGGACTAGCTCTGATATCTGAAGTAGTATGAACTGATCAGACTGTATCTGCAAAATGTGCATATTCTGCCTAGAAGTAGAGAGGTTCACTACATACTAGACAATCACATCTTTTTCCCATTATCCTGAACGATAATTTCAGGCAGAATCTTTTTTTTTTTTTTTTACAACTTAAACACTTATTAATCAGAAAAAGATTAAATGCAATGCCATAGAGAGAACACAGTCAGATATTTGTATCCATTAAAGATGTGTTTTGTCTTTGAATATTTTCAATATTAAGTGTACCAGAAGATGATTGCTGCATGTGTTACTTTGACCTGTAAATTATCTGGCCTTTCTCATGCTGAAGGGCTCACACATACTTGCAAACACAGCTAATTGCTGGTTGTTTCAGAGAAATACGTGAGTTAAAGTATACCTGAAAAGGTAAGAAGTTGTTCTGATGGACAGATCAAAGGCTCACAAATTAGCATTTATTTATTCTTGCTGGCACCAATGACTTAGTGCTGCCTGGGGCAAATCTCTTACCTGCTCCATGCCATAGTTCCTGCATTTAGAGAGTAATAGTAGCCAAAAGGAATCTCATTAAATGCAATTAATGTTAGTAAAGTGTTTTGAAAACCTCATACAAAAGGTGCTATAAACACACAATCTCTCATATTGTACTGTTACAGGATCATTTGTCCCACTCTGAAATACATCTCACTGACATAAAGCCACACAGAAAGAATACATTTAGGAATTAGTGCCAGAAATTACACCTACCCAACATATTCCTTTCCCAAAACAATTATTATTTCAGAGATATACAGATAAATTCTAAATATCCCTGAAGAAATTTGTAGAGGACACAATGCAGTTTCTATGCAAAGAGTATCCTAAGTATTGAGAGTATCAAAGCATTGGCTCAGTTTTTGACTCATTAGATGATCCACAGGGCTTAACCAACAACTGGCTCACCTTTGGGATTTCCTATCCAAGTACTCCTCCTTCCCAGTCTTGTTTAGTTGATTACGAGTTTTGATGAGATCACTTCCTCAGATGACACAGCTGCAGGCTGCTTAACTATTCTCAATTTTTACATGTAGGAACAGAACATTCAGTACCTTTTGTGGTTGAAAGCATATTTGACTGATTATATTTCATGGTAAGACTTTTTGGCCTGTGGTTGACAGAATTACCAATCAGTACTGATGTTCTGGGGCAGAGCTGTCTCCAGGCTGCCTTTCCTGTACCCTTGTTGCTTGGCTTGAGGCCATGTAGTGGTTATGTACTTTCTTGCTCAAGGAGTAAGCAAGAGTAAGCACTTACTTCTGTGTTTATTCTAACACTTAGCTTGTGACTGATTTGTCAACTCAGAGCAGTAAAAGTAGAATAAATGTGAATATGCCATTGTATTTTTATGCTGCAGTCTCTACTGTATGGGAGATATGATTTGGGCACTGGTGGTATCGTCTGTTTATCTACTTTTGGCCATTTCTCCAAAGTCCCTTTGAAAAGCACAGGTTTGCTGCGGCACTTTATACATGTATGACGTATCAAAGTACACAGAAGGCAAATGCAAAGATTCTAATCTAATAAAGATCTTGAAAACAATTTAAATTCTAGCTTTCTAGCAGAGATAATTGTGAGAGTTTCTATTTGGGCTTGTTTCCAATGAGCTTGACCAGTTTTACTGTGGACTTTCTGTTTATTTCCAGATCTGCTGTTTTCTGCAGATTGATCTGTTCATGAACAAGAGCATTTGCTCAAGGAGACCAATTATTTTAGATTAAAAATGTCACAATCCTACTTTTACTAGAAGTGCATGCTCTCTCACTTTTCCAGTTCAGTTATTTAGGTTTGCTTTTGCCTTTTGTGGTGAGTTCTTCGATATTTCATATCAAATTTGGGATATGTATATTTGATCATTTAGGGGCGGCTTAGATTTCTGGATTTTCTTTGTTAGTGTTATGAAAGAACTTCCATAAAGCTTCATCCATAAAAGGTTTATTTGGAATGGACTTGTGCCTCACAAGAATTCTCAGTGCTTAGCAAGTGCTTCCCATCAGTGGTTTTTTTGGTTTTGGAAAATTTTCAGATGCATTCAGTCTCTTTCCTCTGTTTTTTTTCTGGTGATATGTACAAATTGGAAGGAATAAAACCTGGCTTTTGAGCAGGAGTAGTGAAAAAACTTATGCTTACTCTGAAGGACAACCTGAGAAAATAACACTTTGAATACTTCTCCATTATTTTTTACATTTAAATATTAGAACTGTAACTTTAAAGTTTTGCCTGGTATGTGCTCGGTCTCAAAGACCTGTATAGTGTCATACATCAGAAAACTCACATAGTTCCATCCAGCAGCCTCTAATAATACCCTTAAACTAAAAATGAATCACATTAGGGAAATAAAGCGATCAAGAGGGTAGCAGAGAGCCTCCTAGGCAAGGTGAACCTCTCATCTGATATATTATTGCTGTTCAATTGTTCCCACATTTCAGAGCTGTGGGAGAGATCTTATATCAAATGTGGACTATGTGTTTTCAGAAGAGGCACTTAGCTTTCTTCTTGACTTCTTGTCTAACCTCCTTAAATCAAAGGATCATTATTGTTTGTCATTTTGTCATTGCATGGCTGTCCTTTTTCAATTCATGTAATAAACTGTTCTGGACCTCAGATTTTATTGCACTGTTTAAAGGTGGTTCATACTAGAAGTTTATCTCATACAGTAACAGATATTCCATATGTTATTTATTATGACTGAAACTCTTTGTAAAGTTCAGGAGCATTCAAACTTTTTAAGGGACTACGTGGTAGGATGTAAGAGGCGTTCAGTGAGCATCTGATTCTCCTATTCTCTTGTGGTATTGCATGAATGTTATAAGAGACCTAGAGCATAGCTGGATAAGAAACAGTCTGCATTAAAAAGAATCCTGGCACTCACAAGTTGTTTAAATTGATCATATTCTCCAAACTTAGGTTTCAGGAACAATTAAGAGTCTTGTCCATAATCCCTGTTCAGCTTCTCCCCTCAGTTTAGTCTCCCTAAGTAGCACAGACTTCGCTGACAAAAGGAGAGGTTCCCTATGGGAAACCCAAACTTTTGCTGAAACTTTCTCATAGTTGCCTAAGTTAACCATTGCTCATAGCTCAGAGACTTCAGACTTTCTTGCATTAACTGCTGACATTCACACATCAAGGGCTTTAACTCAATGTGTATGTCAGCAGATAAACTGAACATTTAACACTGGGGAAGGTCACATTTTCCTTAACAAGGGCCATTAGTTTGCTGGGACTGCCCATATTTGACAGCATTAGAAGAGCATCAGCCCTACCAAGGGCACTGCTGTTCATTATTCCTGTTTTCAACTTACTTCAAAATTATTGTACTTTTTGTACACAACAAACATTTTCTTTCCAGAATACATTAATCATTATTAATTTTGTGTATCTATAGACTCTTAAGATGACAGAAGAAAAATTTGTATTGGATACACTAGCAGGATGCACAGAATATAAATCCTTATTGGATGTTGTAGTCAATGCCTTTTATGCTGAGGATGGGAGATACTGCCTGATTCCGGAGCGTAATCTCTACATAGGTGAGTTGTTTTTACAACACCAAATGTGTTTACCACAAAACTTTAAAAAATATCTTTTTACTAGCGCAGATCTTAGTATTATATTACATTTGGAGCATTGTCATTGTGCCTAGTGCAGTATGAAATACAGGACATTTTCCAATGTCCTTACAATGTAAAGTCTAAAACTTGAAATTGTTATTTAGTCTGGATTCCTACAGGTGTTAACTGGAATTTTACCTAAGAAAGTCAGGTAAGATGCAGGTGGAAAAAGCATCACTGGCTGGAAGAAGCATCTTAGACATTTAACCATCCCTTTAAAAAATGTTCTTTACTGATTTCCCTTTATTCTCTTCTATGCAACCTATTACTTCTGCCATTCAGGTGGCAAACAACAAACTCTAACAACAAACTCTAACAAAGCTTTGTCTGCTGAGGAACAGCACATCTCACCATAGGCAGATGTTTCTGTCCATACATGGGTATCTTCATTACTGACTGTCACAATGACATAAACAGACTTCTGTCTGTCTCCATGAGTGAAGTCAACTGGTTTCCTTATGTTAGTTACTTGGTTAAAATCAGTTCCAATACAGCTACATCTGATACTATGAGCTAGTTAATTAGGGTACTTACTACTCCCAAAGTTATTTCAGACATTGGGAAGTGCATTAAAATTTAATTTAAAAAATATTTTTATGTTATGCATTTAATACACACATTCTGAAGTTGATTTATTAAGTCCCTAAATAAGCTGGAATCACAAATCACACTGGCATTGCTTCTCTAAGTCAGATATGTTCAGATGCTTTGTGGGTATATTGGAAAGTCAGTTCAAAGTGGTTGAAAAATACATTAAACATATAGATATATCTACATTTTATGTTTTAAAAGCTACAAATTTTCTGTGGCAATTCTGGTTGCTTCTGTCACAATCTGGAAAAGTACAGAAATCTAAATCAAATAACAAACAGAAGGAAACCTAAACTGTCAAGGAAAAAATTATTAGTGTATTGAGTTTATTCTAAATGGTAATGCTTCATTTTCTCCATTTCTCCAGGGCCATGTTTTTCATTGTCTGGGGCACATAAATTATATCTTTAAGCTGAGTGTTGCTATAATTGGATTGTCAGGACTGGTCCACTCAAAAGCCTCCGTTAATCATAGGCAGAGGGGAGGCCCCAGAAAATTTTCCTTTATCAACAAGTTGAGAGTTTAAGGTCATTGGCTTACATTTTTTTAAGCTGCTTGTGATTCCCTTTGCCAAGCTGCACTGACACTTAAATGATCAAAGCTGCTTATAAAGGCTGTTGCTATGTGTGAGCAGATTTGAATTTAATAAAGCTTGTAGGAGATAAGTGTATATTCTGCTAAGACTGCTTAAATATGTTGCTATACTAAAGCACATGAGACTGAAGCCTGACAATACACTCAGCTGGCTGCAGCACATTGGTCAGAATTTACTGATTTACCATTGCTGTTTGGTGGCAGCTAAAACACTGCAGTGCAAGTGAAGCCTGAGTGAACAAATGCAGGCTGATACAGAAGCCCATGAACTTTACAGGTCTGCAAAAATTTCACAGTACTGACTGTGCTTCTTTCTGTATCATAGAACAGAATCATAAATGATTTAGGTTAGAAAAGAACTCAAAGATCATCAAACTGTGTACTTGTCAGAGAGGAGTGCAAGAATGAGGTTTGGAATTTCCCAATTTAAAAACCTGATTTTATTTCCAAGAACAAAAACAATGATTACAACATTTTAGACAAAGTGGTCACTTGGGAAAAACAGTAAAATAAATACAAAATTTTATGTTTAAAATTTTTGTTATGTATGATGTTGTTATGTATAATAAACTGTGGATTTGGAACAGAATAATAAGAGCCATCCTCTCTGAAAACATTAAAAATAGAGTATGTTGAAAAAATCACTATCAAAACTGTTAAAATTAAAGTGACAGTCTAAACCCCAGAGTATGCTGAGTATAGGTTTATTAGAATTGCCTGCTGCATTTTAAATGTATGTATCTTTTGATAGTTATCTGTTATCTGGCTACTTTTCAACTAGAAGAGCTTGGTCTTCAGCACTTCAGCAGAATTGTGAAGTCCTTAGACACTGCAAAAATGCAAAAGGTAATGAAAGTACAAAACATTTTAAAAAATAATTATCTCTTCATTTTGTTTGAGTAATCAGATGACTTTTCTCAATTTTGAGAATAACTTAAATTGAGAAATTAGTGTTATTTGCTGTTAAAATTTAGAAATTAAATTAGTATTTTGTTATCACAAACTCCTTAAATTTCTATACTTATGGGGTGATTCTCATATTCAGTCAAAGATCAATTTAAAATATACTTTATATAACCTGAGAAGGTAGAATAATCACACAATTTACACTTCATGTGATTTGCAATTGTCCCTCCAACTTGCACACTTACTCTTGCCTCTGCTCACATTCCTTCCTTGATTGTAGGCAGGAGAAGTTTTTTCCATACACAATGAATCTGCATTGAAACCTGCAGTTCCTGCAGTGTTCTTTTTCCCCCTTAACAACCCACTACCACTTTCAGTGTCAAGCCTATTGTGCTTCCATCACTTTTTCTCCTTTCCAAAAAACAATGGCTTACTTGGAGCTAATAATGTGCCAATTGCCCCAGTACAACATGCAATTGTCAAAACAATTGCTGCCAAGGGACACCAAAGTTCTGCCTGCCTTTCCTTCTCTGGAGTCACGAATTTGGGGTTCACTCCACTATTTGTTTGCTAATTTTCATGAAATCTGTAGCAAAATAAATATCTTCTGCTTCTCTTTTCAAAATGGTTGAAAGTGCTAATTATCCTAAAAGCTATGTTGTAAAGAGGGGCAGAGGGATAAACTGAGTGGCAATGCTTTCTCATAAGCCCTGTTTTCCCAGGAAAATGGGCTAAAAATTAAATTACTGGTGACACAGCATCTGTAACCTTTGATCATCCAGATGTTTCAAAGCATAGTCTGAACACGCTGTTTGAATAACAAATATGGAATTAAAGAGACAGGCAAATTTTAGTAATTAATAGTCAAAAGGCTAAGGTTTATCCTTGTAGTGATTACTCTGAATGTTCATGTGGATGCCAGTGTCTCTTTAACGAGTACAGTTGCTTTGCAGTATGTAGGGAGAGAGCAGGTTAGGTTGTCTGGTTTTAGATGGACTTAGTGTGGAATGGTTTTTATTAATTCCATTCAGAGACAAAAATGATATATTTCATTAACTATCAGAAAGAACAGAGAAGTGGCTGGAAGAATTATCATAATCTGGTAGACAGACAAATCACTCTGTCTAAAATGCCCTCCCAGCCCCTTCTTTGGTAAACATCTTAGACACGAGCCACTGGATTGGGTGCATCTTGAGCTCGTTCAGCTAGCAACACAATTTTCCCACTTCTGCCAGTTATCCCTTGTTGATTCCATTCACCTAGCTTTATATGGCTTAAGCATCAGTGCCCTGATGTTCCAGTTTAGATAATTTCTCTTTCCTTGTCTGGAATAACTCTTCTAATAGGAAAGTGCTGCGTTTTCCAATGGTATGGACCTGCTTTTTCTTCCTTTAGATGTAACTTTGCTTAAGTATCTTATCAGATCTTCATCACCATGGTACCTAGTTTTTCTTCTCTTGCATTAGAAGAGGTTCTTTGTCTCCAAAGTGATGGTTCATGATATTAATGCACCTGCAGCAGAGGATTTAGAAGCAGCATTTGATCCCCCCAGCAACAGAGACAAAAACAGCAGAAGGCAGATCTGCAGCCTTAGCAACAAAAGTTATCAGAAATCTGGGATTCTCCTTCAGGATGCTGACCTGTAGATTTTGCCTGATGACTATTGTGTCTGCATTCAGTTAAGATAACTAAAAAAATTTTCACATATACTTACCTAGGATAGATTTACTGTAATTAAAAAATAAATTCAGTGCGTCACAGGCTGAATGGAATTTTTTTAGTCACAGAGATGAACCTTACTCAAAGGAGTAGTCTTCAGGTGAATGTGATCAACTGTGTGAGATTTAAGACTTTTCTCTTACAAGACTGTGTGACAGAATCCATTCAACTCAAAGTTGCAGTGTTTCCCTATGTCTGATGCAAGTTCAAATATGTTCATTTAGGCACAATATCCAGACAGAATAGTAATGCTGCCTCACTTACACATGTTCATCTGCTTGAACAGAAAATCACAAGCTCTTATTTTGTAATATTAAAATTACAATTATTTTGTAATATTAAAAATACATGCAAAAATTCTTTATGGTTGTATAATTACAGAGCCATAGGATAAAATCCAATTTTCTAACTTTAGTAGCCGTGCATTGCTAGCTCAAGCCTATTTTTGTGTTCTGTTACTCATACATGTTGTTGTTCTATATTTATTTTAAAATTTAAGGATTTGCGTATTAGAGAAAATATGCTATTGAAATAAAAATTCAATATGAAGCTGAAAATATCTTTATAATTTCTTAATAGCCTTGTAAAATATGCAAAATACATAGTGTTTTCTTTCTAGCATTTAAGAACCTGTTTTGTTCTGTTTCATGTTCTGATTGCTTCTAACAGCTGTTCTAATGAACTTCTGAGATCTTCAAAGGAATATCACTGTAAGATTTGGGCATTGTAATAGCTATTATGATGAGGTAGGAATAGTAGGACAAGATCAGCCTTATGGTGTATGGGAGGTAAAACCAGCCCTGGCTGGGTCAGTAACAGTGTTCTCTGGTAGTGGCTGATCTATACAGAGAAACAGAACCTGCTGTTTCTTGCAGTTACTTCCTTAAATCAAGAGTCAAGAGCATATATTGTGAATATAAGCATTCCAGCTCTGCAAATGCTTACATGGATGTAAAGATATTACCAAATGAGGAAACTTCCCACCTTTTATTTGTTTTTCAGAAATCTGTACAATCCCACTGTGTAAAAATGCATTAAGAATATTAGCAGGGTATGTTCAAATTCTCAAAAGCAAGGTATTAATTCAGCCCACCTGAAAAATGCATTAAAACCAGTCTTTAATTATACACACTTGTCCTACTACAGCCAGAGTACATTAAAGTAGTAAAAATGGGTACAGTTCATTTCATAATTCCCTGTGGTGTAATTCCACCACTTCTAAAAGGGAAATGAAACTTGGTTACCATGCTCTGTGAGTAGTGAAACTTTTGGAACATTCAAGATAGAAGAGCAAGCAGAATAATGCTGTTACCAAAATGACTGTCCAGTGGCTTCTCTCAAGAGACAGATGCTGAGAGAATCCAAACAGAAATCTGAGATGCCCCATTTTGCTGCTATAAAAGCAACGGCCACTGATACTTGGTTTGCCACCTGTGTCACATGTGGCCAAAGACCAAATAGAAATATAAGGGATTTGTTCTAGCAATTCAGTTCACAAAACACAGAAGTTTCTGTTGTTAAAAAAAAAAAAAAAGAAATGTGCTATGGCTTCGTGGCTCTTATTCTGCCAACATTCACCATCTGTGATAGGGATTATCAAAACTAAGACTGTGGACTTTTGGTTCAGACACACTCTGGTCAGAAAGGATGTCCAGTCATCCTGCATTGCCATTTGCAATCCCTGCAGTGCCTCGATGACCGTTCCGGGGCTGCATTCCAAGTATTCTCTAGTATGATGCATATTGTGGCATGTACTTATTGTAGCATTGCTTTGGGGACTGTGACTAAAACAGTACAAAAATATACGTCACAGTATTGATACCTGATTACACAGCTAACCATTCTCTGTACCTCAGGAGTACATCACAGATGTGTCAGTCACATGATTACACATTTGTCTTAATACAGGGAGAAATGTTAATAACCAGTACAGGACTGGTGTTGCAGTAGGAGGCCTCAAAGAGGTAACAGGCAGCTGTAAAATACAACAGATAGAAATCACTGTGAGCCTTTTTTATTGTTTCATCTCTTCATCTTGAAGTGGCAGTTGAGTTGTACTTTGTAAAAGATAGTTACAGCACATATTTAGGAGGCAGAGAGTCAGGGAGAGCTGAAACAACAATTCAGAGGCGTAGTCTCACATGCCACTGAAGCAGAAAATTGAATGAAGCTTCTTAGGGTGGGCTAGTTACAAAGAGGAATACTGAGGGGGAAGCAGAGCGGGAGGAGTCTAACTTAGTGGAAGCTAGTGAAAGAAAACTGGAGGATTTACAAATCACCACCTGCAGTGTTTTTACATCAGCTTCTTCTGTGAGCTCTTTGAATATCTAGAAATTTGAAACCAGCTTCAGATCTCAGGGTCTGATTAATTTTAAGTGTATCAGCTCATGATCAATTCATTCCTGTTATACACTTGTTTAGATGGGTTTAAAACCATGGTTATTATAAACTTTCTGTGTAGTCAGGGCCTTCTGTAAGGTGGGAAGAGTTCTGGAGCAGGGGACCTGTTCACGGGGTCTGTAATCACATATAACTGCTGGGATAACTGGATGTGAAATTCTGTTACAATGACTGGTAGAAATAGTGTCTATAAAGTGCCTCTGTTCTGGTAGAGGGTATGAACTCTGTCTAGACTTCTGACATTTTATTTATACATTGCATAAGTACAAATTACTATGTTAGGGGACAAATTTAATCCAATATGCAAGTGCTACAGAGGAAGATCCTCCATAAGGACAATGAATGACTTGGACGAAGACCGATGGGATGAAATACATCCCTTACCATATACTTTGCAAACTCCATGGAATCTGGCAGCACCAAAAAACCAAACTTCTTGACAATTCAACACTTAGTTTATAGTCATGCTTTTAGGGATGAAAGATCTTTTTTTGGGTGGTGTGCTGATAAGCCAGCATCTGCAGTTTTGGGGAGAAGCAGTAGTTTCTAGGCAAGAATGGGAATCCAAGGGGGTAATATTCTTCTAGTCCTGCAGCACTGATTAGTCTTTTGACTACCAAAAGCACAATAGATGAAAATAAGGCTAAATTTACAAGTTAATTCCTTGGAAATGGTCATATCAAGACTATAGATTTCAAGTAGAAGGCTTTCTACACCTGTTGCACATCTGCAGCAAACACCTTCAGTCAAATCTGAATGGTTTGTAGCTGAATTATTCACAAAGCTCTGAGGCACCTTGTGCCTGGAGCCACATTTGGATTAAGAAGCTCCTTGGTAGTCTTGCAGAACTAAAAACTCAATACAAAGAGCTTTATGGCTCTGTAGAAACCAACTCAAGATGGGGCTGATACCGAGTCTAAACTAAGCTCTGCAAGTCTCCACTGGAAGCTTCTCAGAATGACTGCACACTGCTTCCCAGGATGTCTCATGACATCAAAATTATATAGTGTGCTTTTATCTCTTACTGTGACTGTTTCAGCATGATGCTTGTACTTTCATTTCCAAGAATTTTAATGAAAGAGCTAACGTTCAAATTTGGAATTTATATTGCTGTAAGTGATACAGGCTGAATCTGAGTGCCATTTTTCAAGAGAGTTTCAAAAGGCCAGTTGAATAGTTCAAGATTTAAAGAAAAGCTTTTGACCTTCTGGTGAACTGCAGTGGCAAACGAAAGTTCAAATGTTAGTTGCTATTCCTCCAGCATGTAGAACCATACAATGTATAAGTGTGCCAAATTTCAGTCTTCTAGTTTAATGAGAATATGACAAATAATTATATTCCAATAAAAGAAGAAAATATATTGTATAACATTTACTATAGTTTTCAGCAATTCTCCCTGCGCAGTTCCCAGGGAGATGAAAAGAATTTAAGTAATTCAGGTGCAGTGCCAGGCCTGACAGGTTTCTGGGCTCCATGGATCATCTAGTAATAAGTAATCAGAACTTGACTCTGGGTATATTAAACTCTGAAACTCTATTGTAAAATTATACTAAAATCAGAGTATTCCAGTAGTAATTAATCTTGAATAAAAACTGTTTTTTCACAATGTTTGAAGCAAATTAAAGATGAACCAACACATCTGTATGTTGTAGCCTCTAGATGATTTTTTTGCCACTAAAATATTTTAGTATCTATTGGTGTTTCACAAAGTAGGGCTGAAAGACATGGGAGTGTGCACCAACTAAGAAGAACCTAAAAATACTGAGCACCTATGATTATAATTACAAAGTAAAATACAAGCTACCTCTTCAGCAGTGTCTGTAATAGAAACAGCTATCTTTTTGTGGTCTTAAGTACACCATATCTTCAGTATTCATAGTTAAAATAAACCACTTATTATTAGTTTCTTAGATTCTTCTTCAATAAATTGCATTTGAACACATGGATAAAAGATGAATGGAGTCACTTCTACGACTCACTGTATGTAAAAGAGAATTTGATTGATCCACTGCTAAGGTAAGTAGAACTTAGTAGTCTCTGGCCAGCTCAAAGTTTAAAAGCTGGAAAAGTCTTACCCTGAAAGCTGAGTTTTCTGTTAAAGTGTTTCTTCTGTTGAAGTCTCTCAGAACCCTTCTTGTCTTCATGAGACTTTAGTAATCCCTTTTACTTACCCAGAGGCAAGGTTCTGTCATAGAAAAGTTCTTTCACAGCTGTTGTACATGTACTCCCTGGTGCCCCTGAATATATCAAACGTCATAATCTGAAAAAAAAAAGATAGAAGGTTCAAATTATCTTACCGAGTTAGAGTCATGCCTCATAAGTCACTTCAACATCTGTGACATTAGGCATTTGAAAAAATGATGTTTGACTTCTCTGAGTTTGGCTTTATGCACAGACTTGTTTATGCCGATGGTCGTAAAATCCCTTCTGAGCAAATCAGATAAGCATGTAAACAAGTCTTTTAAAATTATTATTTATTTACACAGTTGCAGCATCATTTAACAGCTTAAACGCTCTGAGGTGCCAGGTGCGTCTACACACTGGTTAGGTGGTGATAGAGTAGCAACAGTACCCTTGCCAGACTGGAACATTTCCATGTTCCATGGACAAACACCAGCTCTGCAGCCTACTGGGTCACTTTTTCACTGTTTTTATCCAGAACAGTATAGATTAACCCAGATGATGGCAGGCACTGTTAGACAAAAACATGCTGCAAACAATGTCAGCTGAAAAAGAGTTTGCATCTGGTTCTGTCATTTCAGAGTCACACTAGAATTAATCCTTTCATACTGTGCAGTTTATGAGCACTCCAGCAAATGTACAGCATAGATTTGGCTTGCACTACTCTGAATTTTACTGAGTTCTACAGGAACCACAGGGATGGATATACTTGAAGTCAGAATTTGACTCAAAATACTCCAGTGTAATGACTCTAATTACAACATATGCTTACAATACTGTAAAGATACAGATAGAGAGGTAGAGATAGAGGTACACATCCATCTTCACACCGTTTTTATATGTACACATGCATGCAGGCTGATGCTTAGGCCATTGCTTGTTTCATTAGCACTCAGCTTATTGGAGCTGTCCTTCACACTCAGTTACACTCAGTGGAATGAATCGTGTTTTGCCTAGAAGTGGTAAATGTAAGTTATACAAGAATGTTAAAGACCAGATTTGGTTCCTGCGTTTGAAACTTCCTTCAGGGGGCTGAGGATGCATTGATGAGTTTAGTCAGTTCAGTAGTGGAAATTCTTTTACATATGTCTTTGTGTTCCTCTTTCTAATGTCAATTATGTTGATATAAAGAGTCCTATTTATTTTAGCGGAGCTTCATCACTTGCACAAGTTACTTGCAAGGCTCCTCCTGTAATGACAGTACACTGTTTGTGTCTTACCTTTAATATGTCCCTTCCTGTCATTCCTTGGAAGAATTTTGAACCTTCATACAAGTCCAAATGCAAACACAGAGAAAAAATAATCTTGGCTGCCCTCAGGGTTCACTGAGGGTTCATTTGCTAACTCACCAAACTCCTTACATCTGTCTATCTTTTTTACTAGAACTGCCTGTGCTTTGAGATTGATCTGTGTGTGCTCTGTTGGTTGGTACAAGTGACATTATTCAGACCACTGTTTGTTCATAGTCTCTTCATTTAAGTGTGTTAAGTGTGTAATTAGCTTATGACAGCTGCTTTTCTGATTCATAGTCTGGTCCTGTTGCAAAACGAACTGGCAGCAAGGAATAGTTGCTTAGTCTGTAAAAACTGTGGCTATTTCACCAGTAGTAATCTGAAAGGACCAGCATCTATCAAGAGGTGAAGTAACACAGTGCAACTAAATCCTGAATACAGAATCATAGACCAGTTTTATCAAAATTGAATGGCTGAAAGCCTTACAGAATTTGCACCCATGCCAACCTCAAATAGTGTGTAAGTTTGTATGAAATTAAAAAAAATTAAAATAAAATTGAAAATTCTGTTTTTATTTGAAGATGGCAGCCAAAAGTCCAGCAACTGATTGAACAACTCACAAATAAATTAAATAATTGTGCTACCACTGTCAAGACTTCTAAAGTCACTCAGCCAAAGGAATTTAATTTGACTGTGCCCAAACCACGTGCCATTCCTCTACCTCTGCCAACACATCTGCCAGTACTGGAAAAAAGACAGCCTGTAAGTTGATTTATGATTTGAAAAACTCTAAATTTTTTGTATGCTTGTGCACAAAATCTTGGTAGGGGAGTTAATAACCTCTTTTAAGTAAGAATAGAAAATCTACAACCTTTGACAGATCAAAAAGGACTTTGGCAATAATCTATGTTATTGAAGGTCAGATTTCTAAAAAATCCACTGATAAACTAATTCTTTTCATTTCAGTGAATGTTGTGTAAGCGAGTGGTAAGCCAAACAGAGGAAAGGGAAAAGGTTGGTTCTTGTAGTCATTTTGTGACTTTCAGAGGTAGAATTACAAAATGGGTATAAATTGATGGCAGCATTGATACAAGTGTTTCTGATAGTCCTTGGCTTTGTAAGATGCTTGCTTTGGATAATGCACCGAAGCAGGTAAGAAAGAACATTGAAATGAAAATGTTTTACTAATTTAGATTTTTTTGTAGATGAACTCTCATTAAAATAAACAGAAAAGCAATTTAACTGGAAATGAGATGGACTCTAGGTTTGCAGCTCCTCCTTGAGGGTGGAATTTTATTCCTTTCTAACTGTATTAGTGCTGAATCTCTGAAATTAAAGTTTTTTCAGTTTAAATTCATTGCTCATCCTCACATGAGACTAGATGTATCTTTGAAATACTAAGTTGTTATTTTACTGATTGTCTCAGATTGTGGTTCAGTTACACTGGTACAAATCAGAGACCCACAACTGGTTTTAAGTTATCTCTCTGGGGTAAAGCAAACAGGATCTGGGATCAAGCTGCTGTGAGTAACTTAATAAGGACTCCAAAACCATCTGTATTCAAATGCAGTGGGAAGTGAGCTTGGAAATCATAGATTTGGGCATTATCTGCCACCTTGTATTAGCACTTCAAGTTTTAAATAATACATGTGTTGAATGCTCTTAGAAACCATTTACATCTTAGGATGGCAGAGCAATTTAATGGTACAGTGTTATACAGTTAATGGGATTTTACATTGAAATAGCTTAATACCAGGCTCTGAAAAACTGCATTTAATAACTACTTAATCAGTATAGGAATGAGTCATGTTGCTGTCATTTTAGAACCTTTATGCTGTGCAACCCCTCTTAGAATAAATTTGCTTTAACACAGATGCATTTAGTGAAGTTCATTTGGGGTGTTAGGATTATACTAAATTTGGTTTACATTCTGGCCAGGTCTGCAAATTTAAAGCTTGTGTGGATCTAAAACCAATAGTGTAGTAGTGACACATGTTGTACTCATTTCTGTGCCTATCTTAGCAAATTAAGCTTCACTTTAATTTGCCATATTGTTATCAGTATCACCATTTCACATCCTGAAAGGAAGAGAGACTGAAAAGACAAGCTCAGATGGCAAGACTCAGTAAAGTGAGAGTTTATTTTTAAAATTTAACAATGAAACTACTCACTCTAAATATTTGGTCTAAATATTATAAATTCTTGTTTCCACTGGCCTTTGCACATGGATGCAGACACAAGTGTGCACATATGCACTCACACATTCATAAATACAATTCTACAAAGGAGTGCTTTGCCTTGAAGTTTTCAAAGGAGACAAATAGAGACAGGTGCTTAAACCTGATAACATGCAAAACTATTTGGACACATTTAACTTCCTTGGATATCTTGGCCTAGAGTGACAAATAAAATCCATTCTTTTAGTATCAGCACTGTACCAGAACAATAAGATTATGCAATGATTTTATTTTTAGATTTTCTAAAAACCAATAATATATTTTAAAAAACAAAACGGCTGCACTGGGATGTTATTGTAATGCCTTTCAGCCAAATTTAATGTATTTTTTAGATATTTTCCTTATTATTTCAGCTGTGCTTCATGAAAGAAATTGCTGATTGTTTAAAATAATTAAATGGGTGAAATAATTTAAGCAATACAGAGGATTTTGTTTGCAAATATACAGACCAAACAATAGATTTATGATCTTCTTATGTATAAAAATAGAAACCCTTAATACAATAGCATTGCATTAGCTTGTCCTTGTCCACCTTACAACAATAACTTTTAAAAAAGAGTGATGAAAGTTTAGAGCAATTAATAATTTTGTTCTTCCTTAAACTTCTTGTGGTACCTATCCCAAAATAAACCTCTGGTTAAGGGATATCCACACAGCCTGTGTGAGCTTGACCACTGGCTGGAGAGGGAAAGCAAGGCTGGTGTCTTACTCCCAGCCCTCTTTTTTCACATTTGGATTAAGTAGGTACAGTTTGACCTTTTTGATCTCTCTGTTGCTGGAATTTACAATTTACTTACAGTGACCTCTTATCCTCTTCCAGCAGCTGGGTAATTGCTGTATTGCCTACCTGTCTGTCTGCCTGGTACTCATACCATGGTGTCTGAGGGCTGAATTACAAGGCTAAGAACGTTTTTGAAACAGAGCTGATTGAAAAGTCTCCTCCTTAAATTACTTGGAATAAGCATAGCTGTTTCTGAGGAGAGATTTCCAGCTTACATTGGCAGACGAGTGCAGTTTTGCAGGTAAAGCACATGACTAGGAAGGAGAGTGAAATAAGCTGATACTCACTGCATGTGCAACCCTTTGCACATCCTCTGGGCTTTAATTTCTCCACCTATGAAAGCATAATAAAAATTCTTAGATACTGCTGGGAAATACTTTCATTTCTGCTTTACTTAAAAAGCTCACAAAAATACTTGAGCAGTCTCACCACTGCATTTAATTGCTAGCTTCTTCTGTTTGTGCATTTATTGTAGCTGCAGATAAAGATGTCACATAGTAAAGGCAGTGGAAAGTCACAGAATCACAATCCGTCAGATTCAAGACTTTTTGAAAGCACAGCTCTTTATATAGTCCAATAAAGCTAGATGGGATTCACATGTTCCCTAAACTGATCTCCAGTACAATACAGACTTATACATTTCTCCCATTAATTCTTTAATTAATTTTGTAACTTCTAATTGATCTAGAACATTTTTAGCAAGATAAACATTTAAGCAGATGCCCACTAAACTGTCAGACTATCTCACCCACATAGGAAGGAGACATCCAGTCTTTTTTCAGAGTTTGCTCTGGTCAAAATTTGTTGCTCAAGCAAATCTTGAAATCTCCCCAAAGTCCCTAGTCTCCTGTTGATCCCTATGACAGCCATACAGTCACTTCCTGGTCATTTTAGCTGTAGCACTTTCTGATCTGTGAATGCTTTCCCAAATCTTTGATTAATGCTAGGAGGGCCCTTTCAGTCCTCAACCTCCAAACATTTAATCCATACCTCCAGTGGTTTTCCCTTACAAGGACATTGGGACAGCCATGGTAAATCAGAGCAAAGGCCCATTTTGCCCAGTGTGTTTTCCAGCAGTGGCTAAACACAGATGTCTGGGAAGACCAGGGGGATGGGACAAGCACAGCTGCTCCTTTCTCCACCTGCCTTCTCAGTCTCCCACCATTTCAGCTCAAGGACTTCCTCAGTTACAATGAAGTTTCTGGATATTTATTAAACTTCAGAGGATTTCTCTTCCCTAAACTTCGTTGGAGTCCCTGTACCTTGTTGCTACTACCACACAGGGTGCCAGAGAGCTCCACAGCTTAACTTTATTCAGCTGCCCTATGTGGCTGTCAGTGCTGTGAAACTGAAGTTTATGAGATGTCAAACAGAACTGTTCCCATTCTGGCAACATTTTTTTCCCCTTTGATAGGGCCTATAGGACTTTTAGCCTTTCTTGTACTAGTTTCACATTTTTTTTTCATTTGACCAGAGATTATATTACATTAGACAGGACTGAAAAGCCTGGGTAGTTCCAGCTAATTGGAATCCATCCCTGTCTTCTACACTGGCACTAATAGAAAAGAATCAATATTTAAAAAATAATTGCTGCTGTTCTATGGTAAAAGTGAACGTTTCACTTGGAATGTTTTATATCCTATGTTCTAGAGATTTTTTTCTTTTAATGTAGGTTCCTCCAAGCACCTACAAACCTCCAAAGGAAATAAAGCAACTAGAGGAAATCAAAGATAAAAATTTCCGAAAAGCAAGCGTAAGTATATTATATTCTTGTTCTACTCCTTCCTTTCTTCTAAACTTGTTCTTCTGTATTGTTCCATCTTCACAGGTCTTAGAACTTTATCTGAAACGTATCTGCTTTTGCACCTAAATTTTGCACCTTGTGGCTCTTTCTCTATAGAGTCATGAAGTTTGTATCCTCTATTCTGTTCTAGCACCGTTTCCCCATCTTCTTTATTTTATTATTAATTGTCTGAGGCAAGATCCACCTTTTAGTCACTGTACAAGTACCACATGAGAAATTTTGCAAGTGGGCATATAAGGCAGCAGAAACATGATTACTTCCTTGTCTTCTCAAGCTTGAAGTAGTTTGATGGTTCTTTTACTCCCACAAGAAATGTGCATATTTAAGGTATTTGGTTATTAGTTAAGGCTTCAAATTACAAAATATGTTCAATATTTTTGTTTTCTGTAGTAACTGATAATAACCATGTCATCATCCACTGTTTTAAAATATCAGCAAACTCTGACTTCTCTTTTTGTGCAGACTTCATACTCTTTCCTTCAGCAGCTGAGAGAGCAGGAAGTCATCCTGGCTTGTACACGGTCTGTGTGTTAAGAGAGCAGGAGAAGGGAGGCCTGGAAAAACAAACAGATCTAGTTATTTTATCCAAACTTTGACACGAATCTTGTTCAATGATTTAGTTCCTGTCATAGTTAAAGCAGATTGTTATCATCTTCTCCTTGGAAAGGAATTAATTTAATGTCCATTTCCACTTTCTTTCTCCCTCCCCACACTGCAGTCACCATATGCAATTAAATAATGGTATAAGCTTGATAAAAGGTATTGCCATGTGACTCCTTTTTAACTGCACTCTCACACCTCCATTCTGAAAATGCCTGACTCTAGTTTTCACTGGCCAGTACAAGTCCATTCATCACTGTTCTGGGCTCTCCTCATGTCCTTGTGAAAGGGGCATTGGATTCTCTTCCAAGAACATAGTAAGTGCTTTCATGTGGGATAGATTCTAGGGGGATAAACTTTGCATTCCTTTTGCTGGCCCATCACACTACCTATGCTTGATATTTCATTATAAAACAATAAAACATTAATTTTTTTATTCTTTTGTTATTTCCATATTGTTGAGGAAGCACATCTCTATTTGTCTGTGCGCTTATTTGTACATTACGAACTTCTTAGAAAAACCAGGAAGGAAAAGCTAAATATCACAGTGCCTAAACTGTCAAAAATCTACAGCAACTACAAAATCACTTTACAACCAGCCACATTCTTCAGTAGAGAAAATGCATGAATACAAGAAACAAAGGAAAACCACCGCAGAAATTATAGCTGCAATAACAGCAGCTTTTGCCGCCTCTGGAAATGTTATAAAAGGCATCCAAAGTATTCACAAAGGTCAGTTCCCTTGACTGTTTGCTAAGCAAGCTGAAATGATGGGTCCTAACAGAAATATGCATGAAAAAAGCCATTTGTTTCGTAGCATTTCTGCAGAAGCTGTAGCTGTCATTATAAGAACCGTGTCTGAGCATCTGTGAGGAGTGAGAACATTGGAAGCCACACTCCAGACAGTTATGGAAGCACTGATGTTATCAGCTGCTGCCCAGAAAGCCATTAGAAAAATCTAGTCTGTATTTCACAGCTCTGATTAGGAATTTGGTTTACAACCAAAAGAAATATACAAAAACTGGAAACATGGTTGCCTGCGCTTCCCTCTTTAAAATGACTGAGGGAATTACTGCCAGAGGTGTGCCCATTGGAGCAACCCCTGGTGCTGTGATCCCCTGATCATAATCTTCTAATGTAACTCAAAAACAAAGCCATGGTTTGTCAGCTATGTGGAAACAGTTACTACCAATGGTACTCATGTGCCATGGATAAGTATGATGCTTTTAAGTTGAAATCTGGATGTTCATACAGATGGACCTGTCAAAGGTCTGATGCCCTGTGCAGAGGATACAACCACGCAGAACTGTGTAGAAAATCAAGAGTTGCTTACTTCAAGTCTTTAATCAAGAATGAAAATTCATATAAATACTAAGTCAAGCTTTCAGGGTCTGTCTTGGGGCCAGTGTTATTTAATGTCTTCATTAAGGACAGAGATGAAGGGATCAAGTGCACCCTCAGCATATTTGCTGATGACACCAAGCTGAGTGGTGCAGTTGACACTCCTGAAGGATGGAATGCCATCCAGATGGACCTGACAAGCTCAAGAATTGGGCCCATGGGAATCCTGTGAGGTTTAACGAGACCAAGTGCAAGGTGCTGCACCTGGGTCAGGGCAAATCCCCCGTATCAACAGAGGCTGGGGGACGAACAGATCAAGAGCAGCCCTGCTGAGAGGAACTTGGGGGTGCTGATGGATGAGAGGCTGGACATGAGCTAGCCATGTGCACCTGCAGCTCAGAAAGCCAACTGTGTCCTGGACTGTATCCAAAGCAGCAGAACTGTGGCCAGCAGACAGAAGGAGGGGATTCTGCCCGTCTACTCTGCTCTGGTGAGACCCCTCCTGCAGTGCTGCATCCAACTCAGCACAGGAAGGACATCAACCTGGTGGAGCAAGTCCAGAGCAGGACCAAGATGATGAGAGGGATGGAGCACCTCTCCTATGAGGAAAGGCTGAGGCAATTGGGATTGTTCACCCTGGAGAAGAGAAGACTTCGGGATGACCTAACTGTGGCCTTCCAGTACCTGAAGGGAGCCCACAAGAAAGATGAAGAGAAACCTTTGACAAGGCCATGTAGTGACAGGGCAAGGGAGAATGGCTTCAAACTGAAAGAGAGTAGGTTTTCATTAGTTGTTAGGAAGAAATTCTTTACTGTGAATGGGGTAAGGCACTGGCATGTGTTGCTCAGAGAAATTGTAGATGCCCCATCCCTGGAAGTGTTCAAGGCCAGGCTGGATGTGGCTCTGAGCAACTTGGTCTAGGGAAAGGTGTCCCTGTCCATGGCAGGGGGGCTGGAACTAGATGACCCAAACCATTCTATGATTCAAGGAATAGACCCTGAGATTAGCTTAGTTGGTTAGAGCACAGTGCTAATGCCAAGGTTGTGGCTTTGATAACGGTAGAGACCACTCATGAGTTGGACTCGATGATCCTTGTGGGTCCCTTCAAACCCAGAATATTCTGTGAAAATAGTGGTCAGGGCTGCAAGGCTTTTTAAACAGAATTATTCTTAGAGAATTTAAATGTACGACACTCTTCAAGTTAATTGTTGTAATTGCAGGATCTGCTCCTGAAAGCAAATACTGACCGGTTCAGGTGTGCAACCATGAAGCCTGAAAAGAGAGAGGTATGCTACAAAATACTTCCTTACCTAAAAATCCCCCAGTATGAAGATGAAAAACGACTGGAGTATTTAAAGATCTCAGTGTATTTGAAAAATTATATTTACTCGGGCTTAGGAGTTATGTGGTATGATTTATAGCTGTACTGTCATTTCACATCCATATACCAACCTTTGCCTCTTTGGATGCATAATGCACAACCCCCTTTTCTTCTGGTGCTGCTTTATTATTCTCCTAATTATGAGACAATCAGCCTTTCTGTGAAACTCCTCCAACAAGTCTCCAAACTGGCAATATTTCTCTAAATCCACTTATTATTTTTCCATTAACTTTTATGCCACAGAGTCGCCAAGCTGAGGGAATAACAGTCCCATTCGTACAGAATTCTTGCTTTGGTTGATTCCCAGTTTGCAGTTATGTCACTAAGCTATGTATGTAATATATGCATTTCAGCATCACTGCTTCATATTCTATTCACTGTGTTCATCCCCATGATACCAGACAGTTTCACATCAGTATCCATAGTGAACATGATAAAATTAAATTAGTAACCATCAGTAGAATTCTACCACTAATTAATAATTTATTGAAGTGTGCTTTGACACTTTATTTTGTCCTCCCAGTATCTATTTCATTTAAAAGCTGAATTTATTAATATATATATAAGTAATATTTCATAGTCAAACAGCATCACTTACTTTTTACCATTATCTTAGTCAATAAATTTTAGTTAATATTTAGACCTACATTTCTGTGGTCATTTGATTTGAAATTTTCCCACTAACTGGGGTGTACATAGCAAGTTTGTGGATATAACAATTCCAAAATATGTCCCCTATGTATTTGTTACTCTAGATGAATATTCAAGTGTTATTTTTGATAAATATCTAATATTTTTTGCTGAATAATTGAAAATCTGTTTCTGAAATGAAACCATATATTTTGGTTTGAACTGCAGAGCACACATGACAGTATGAAGAGTAAACCATCATTCCGGGCTCAGAAGATCCAAAGTAAGGTGAGAAACCTTTAAGGAACTGATGTCAGATGTGCTTGAAAATTTTGGAGTGAAAAACACACATGCAAATCCTGTGGTGACACAAACTCTTGTGGAATCCATGGTTTTACACTAAGGTCTGTGGCCAGGAGCATGGGATGGGTTGGTCTGTGGCTCAGAGATTTTTTCCTATGCACCGTGAACAATCCACAAAGAAATGGTCAGGGAGCAACAGGAGTGTGGCTACTCCATGAGGGAAGAGAAATAAGGAGCCAAAGGTAATGAAAGCACAGGCAGTGCCCTCACCAACCAGGACACAGTATCTGAACGTGAGAAGGATGTGACAGGTTCACTGACAGCAGGTCACCCTTTGGCAAAGCAAGGCAACAGGTCAGGTCTGGAGTCTGCCCTAGAAGTCCATTCAGGAGATGAGGCTACAACAGCAACCTGTGTCCATGACAGCAGGAGACAGAACTGGAGAGTCAGCCAGGAGCAGAAAAAATCCCAGCACAATGGGAAAGGACTGAAGGCCATATCTGAGCTTTAGTGGGGCTCCCAGACCAGTGAGCAGAGGGTGTGAGTGGAGGTTCCAGGGGAGGCTGGTCAGGGTGATTAAAACCTGTTGGTTCCCTGAGGGCTCTGGCAGGTAAATTGTGTGCAGTTGCACCGTGTAGCCATATTGCCTTTACAGTGTTTTCAGTTACAAAGGGAGAAGATTTTACATAATATGGTAAGAATTGAGAATCATCCCCAGAAAAAAAGAATTGTAAACCCTTGGGCTGAGAACTTAGCATAAGGACAGAAGAATCTTGCATCCAGTAAATCACTGTTTCAAATGAGATCCTAAAGAATGCTGAGCAATCATTCCAGCTAATGACTGTCTGATACACAATATACAATCAGGCTGGATGTTTGTCTTGTTTCCTTCAGATGCATACTGAGGTTATGAAATCCGCTATACTGATTGCTTCTCTTCTAGGATTTCCAAGGGTCAGGGAATTGTAAACGTGGAAAATGGGCTGTTCAGCCTTAATGGTGTAACACATGAAAACTCACATTGCTGTTTCTGCAATAACTGTACTATGATGATCTTCAGTCTTGTATTTGTTCAATCTGTCACCTTTCATTTGTTTCAAGCTCATATGCAGAATAATTTAAGGAGGAAACTGTGCTTGTATCATGGTCTCAAATATCTAGTGAGCAGGTCTGCCTGTGTACTTAGGGACAGCTCATATATACCCTGAAAAGACTCTATTTGGGGAACTGGGCATCTGGCAAGTATTTCTAAAGCCTATCTGGCATTTATCACATACCAGAGTTATCTTTAATAACAGTATCAGCTACTCAGTCTGTTTGCTTATAGTCCAGCAGCATTTAAAGTACAGGAAAGTAGTAAGATCTCAGTTCCTTCTGCACAAAACAGAGGCAACACCACCCCCCCCCCAAAACCAGGAAACATTTACATAGTTAACCCAAACACACATGACCTGTAATTATGTGGGCTCAGTTCAAAACTCTGTATATTCCACTCCCTTTTCTGATAATATAAAACCTTAGTGTGGACTACTGAGAGTCAAACCATCTGCCCAAATTGCATAACAAAAAATATGGATCTGGCATCCTCTGGCATTGATCAGGGCCACTTCTAAAACCTGCTAGTGTCTCCTCTAGAAGCATAATCAGTTTTATCTTGTCTGAACACATTTGCCTTAAAGGTTGGTTAGGTGATATTCAAGATGCTGCTGTAACTTTCAAGCAGAGATAGGCATATAGTTATTGACTTCTAAAATACTTTCTATTCCTGTTGCCTCCTGCCTGTGCAACTCTGTGAGTAGACAAATCCCAAGAGGAAAGTTTATCCAAGATATACAAATAAGATTATAACCTATCCTCAAATTAATGAAATTATATAATGTTTTAACCAACTAGTATTTTCCTTTCCTCTTTTTAGAACACCCACACTATATTAAATATAATTTTTTTCATTTCAGGCACATTTATTATGTGCAGCAGCAATTATTTCTCTTGCTCTCCTAAAGTATCCATTCATCCTTTTCAGTGGGAGAATGAGACGGTACAAATGCATCATCACTCTGTCTCAGTCTGCCTCTTGCTCATATCAGGCCTTGCTCTTTACATATTTATTGGTTTTGGTGAGCTATGGCGTGTTCATTAAGTGGCAATAGTGAAAACAATTTTTTTTTTACAAGACCTAGAGTGTTCTGCGATTTTCCCAATTATTTCCATTTTCTCATCTTAAAAAAAAGAAACATATCTCATGACAGGAAGAGAATGAGTAAAATTCAGAACTTCTCTGATACTGTATGACATAGAAGAATCTATTCAGTTATTTTACTCATGTCTGCCTCCATATATCTTGGGAGTCCTAGATATTTTTTACTGTATTGCCATATTTCTGTTTCATTGTTATACAGTCATATTTCTGGTCAATAAACTGCAAAACTGAAGCTAAAGGTATTTCCATAATCACTCTTAGTTCAGTTCTCTATCCAAATTACAGTTGGTAAATACCAACCATGAAATCTGTATACATAGATAATTGCCAAAAATATGAAAACTTCTACATGTGTCAGAGAAAATGCCTAAGTTTACATTTTTTACACAGTAGAGTACCTAAAATACAGTCTGGCAAGTGACTGTTCATATAATGCAGAAACTGAGATGTGTTGAGAAGCAGACCAAAAGGTAGAACATCATTAGGCATTAAGAAGAGTAAGTATAGTGGGTCAAACAAAAGAAATAAAATACATTAGTTTTAGTATTTTCCTACATTCTTCAAGCTATCACAATTTTGTCAAGAAACAGACAGGTATTTAACTTTTGTGCATTAAAATATGCCATCTATGTAAAAACATCTTAATTCTACTTAGTGGATTTCTGATGGGAATGTGTTTTCTATCCTCAACCTACCTAATTAATAGAAATTATGAAACATGCTTTTTTCCAGTTAGCTCATGTATTTCAGGAAACTGCAGTGCATATTTGTGCATACAATATTTGCAGTATGTATCTTGAGTGATTCTGTGCATCTGTTTCTCAGCCACTCATTAAGTTCTTAATTTGGAATTTAAGTACATGTTTTAATTCTGAACACAGAACTTGTCTGGATTTAAGTCTAATGTGTTGTGATTAAGCTTTGTTTTCTGCAGGAATGATCCCAGTTTTTACCCCAGCAGCAGTGCTTTGCCCTGGTTCAGGTCAGGTCTCTTACATGTGTATGTGAAGGTGATCCATTTTTTCTGAATAGCCTACTTGTGCAGGGAACAATTGTAGCTGGCAGAGAAGTTGTTCCCTTCCTCCCTCAGTATTTAGAGGTTGTCTGGTAGTCAATAAGGCAATACTTTGAAGAACTACAAAGCAGCCACAGGGTCTAGTCCAAGTTACACCATGAGGCCTGAAAGTCACTGAGACCTGTACTTTACTTCTTCTATCTAGAAAATGGATATGGCAATGGGTGATGCCAGTTGTCTTGGAAATACAAGTTATAATAGTGATTATTTATGAATTGCCTCTGAGACCTTCCTATGAAAGATGCTGCTTATGTTTTACTTGAATGGTTTTGGTTAACTGACTGTCTTTCAGAGAAGCGGTTTATTGTCTTTGTCCAAAACAGATGGAATCCCTTCGCACTGTGTATGTGAGCACTGGAAGATATGAAGGGAAGTGAAGACATTCTATGGGATTTGACATGGTCCAGGAGTGATTACAAATTTATAATCCACTTGGGGGACTTTGCTGATTTCTTAAGCAGCTTGAGTGGTTTATGAACAGCATGCAATTTCATTGTGAATGTCAGATTAATGCTAGATGAATGCTTTAAGCAAAATTTATGCTGTCTTGGGTCAATTTATTTAACCCACTGAAATGTTTTTATACTCTGTTTTATGGTTTACATTACTAACAACAGTATATGCATTCCCTTTCCTGACAGATTGACAATATACCCATTAAACTAAACACTGCAGCTATTTTGAGGGAGGGTGCCCTCTATCAGAGGAAAATGGAAGACGAGCTCAAGAGGTATGACCACTCTCCTTCTAGAATGACTTTTCACATCTCTGGATGTGGGATAATTAACCACATTCAAAATAATTAAGTAAATTACAGGTAAACTAAACTAATGGATCTGTTGTAAGCATTAGGAAGCTACTTTGTAAAGATGGTTCACAAATAAAGAGAGAATTGGGTTTAAAAAAAGTCTACATTAAAGTAATTGTTTTTCTGTAGATGCTGTACAGTGTGACTGTGTTCTGATTCAGCACTCTGGTTAGAGTCCACTTGCAAAGTCCAACAGGGATCACTTTTATGTTTATTCTGATTCTCTAGAATAAATAATGACCCAAATACACATCTATTTCTGTGTCCTTCATAAAGGTGCATCTGTAATAAGCCAAATAATTTCATATATCTCCATTTTCTTCAATGATTGTGGTCAACTACATGCCAAGTTTGATACTTGAACTTGTTCAAATGTATGTAAAAATACCGGTCCATTGCTATCACAGTAAGATATGGTGAGCAAAGAATGTGCTGCTCCTTGAGGCAAGATCAGCCAGGAGCTGAGGGTGACAGCAAGACATTGTAGGGACAATGTCCTCACTGACAGCAGCTCAGTTCCATGTTACCCTGGCAAGGCAGTGGAGCAGGTCCAGTGACAGCCAGCAGGGTCAGCCGAGGGCCCAGGGATTGCAGGATGAGTCCAAAGTGATGAGTCAGGACCGAGGTCCAGCCAGGAAGCCAAGTCAACAAGGCAGAGTCAACAAGGTCCTAGGCTGGGTGCAGGCATACCTGCAGCATAGCTTAGGCAAGGCTTTTAACACTGGCTTAAATGTGTCTCCTGGGATGAAACTCTCCACACACACCAGGACTTTTCACAGCTCTCCCTCCCACAGTTCTTTTCACTCAGCCCAGTCCCGTGTCACACGGTCACACTGCAACAGAGCTGTCTTTGAATACAAGCACTAAATCCTGGGCAGTGGTGGTGGGGTGGGAATAAGAGGTTGCAGGTCCTTTTGGTGCACTTAGGGCTCTAAGGAATCCTGACATAAGGATTCCTCTGACATAAGGAATCATTATTCAGCAGGATAGGTTTTCACAGGATGTTTACAAGGGAAAGGGTGACTCCTGGATGGCCACTACAGATTGTATTCTGTAACTAGAATTACAGAACATTTTCACTAAAAATTTTAAGAAAGATTAAACCTCTATCATGTCATCTTGATTTAGTATTACTTCTAAACCACCTGACTTAGCAGGTTAAGTACTAAATATTGTTAGCATTTTAAGTCCTGGAATGACTGTGTAAGGTTGGACTTGGTCTTTCAACCTTTCAGGTTTTAGTAGATGCATCAGGATTCTAGCAGTAAGATACTATACATCACTCAGGTTCTGTTATCAGCTAGGTATGTGCATTGAGGCTCTTCTGTATTACATATGATACTGTTCACTCTAGATGGCAGAATCTGTTCAACTCAGCAAGGAATAGATTTTCCCTGTAACTATTTTACATTAATAAGTTTAATCTTCAGCTGCATTTAACACACAACAGATACATATAGATATGTATATATATACACACATATATATGCATTGGGGAGCAGCAGTTAAGATGCAATTCACTGCATGTTTGTGTCTCTGCCCTAGTTATTGGCTCATTCCCTCCTCTGCTCCAGGACTTTGATGGGCCTGCCCCAGGGCTTTGCTATGCTTTTCTCTCTCAGCTGAGCACAAAAATAAGAATGTGACTTTGCTTAATAGCTGAATACTTCTTTGCCTTGTTACAGCAATATTAATTGACAGAATGCAAAACAGAAACAGAATTAAGCAGAAGTTTTTAGTTCTCTGTGTTAAAGTTGCCAAGAAGATTGCCAAAGAGAAAAGTTATTTGTTATTTCTACCTGTAAGGAAAGCAATCCTCTGAGAAAATGTTCATACCTTCAGCCTGATTCTCTCTGTTCCTTATGAGAATCCATATGTAGCTAAAGTTTGCCCTCTCTTGGGGCTTTCTTTTACCGAAAACTTTCAGGTCTGTGCCCTCATGCACTTTCTTCCAGTCTGGCTTTCTCAGGCTTTCCTCATAGTAGGAACACCTCTTAGACTGGAATTAAAATATATCTGCCAAATGACTTTGCAATGACCAACTTTTTTCTCAGCAGAGATCAACCCCTTCCTATCACAAAAAACTACTGGAAATGTTTTATGAACCACGGAAGGGCCGCAGAGCCAGATCCTTAGAATGGCATCCTCTTCTTTTCTCTCTTGTAGAATTGAAAATTTGGAACAAGGGTTTGGAGACCCATCTGAATTCTTGGAATGGCAAAAACAGATGCGTGGAAAAGATTTGGAAGAACAGCTGGCTGAAATAGAGTGTAGGAGGCTTCAAGGGAAACTCAGTCATGAAGAGGCAGTCCTAGCCCATCAGAATGTAATTCAAGAAAACAAGAAGAAAGCTGATCTGTTGAGGGAAGAGGTAATGCATACAGAGATGCTCAAATTTTGCTTACTTTCAATCAGTGTAAAACACACCACAGATAAGACCTCCTATAAGAAGGTGTAAAAATTCTATGCAGCATCTTTACTCACTTAAGTCTGCAAACAAAGGAAAAATAGTGCTATAACTTCCAGATGCAGCAGTGCTTGTACATTTAAGTACTTGTACAAGTGATTGATTTGATTGATAACACTTAAGAAGTAAATTGAACAAAAGCAGAAGGTTAAAGCATGCTCCCCTATATTCACATCATTATGGAAATCCCTTTCGGACAGATACTGAGATACAAAGCACCATTTGCAATGAAATCGATAAAATATAGGACTAATTTCTTTATCTTGTTAAAATGAGAGCCACAAATATGAAAGAATTTGTTTTCTTCAACTGTTATAATTCAATTGACTTCATATTATCTGACATGCCTAGGTCTCTCTTAAGGGAAAACTCAGGCAGAGAACCCTCTTTGGATCCACCTATATGGAAAACCGAGTATTTTTGCCAAGAAACAGTTTCACACAGTTTTTGATCTGGCAAATCAGTTTCCCAAAAACATTCCTAGATCTTTTCATTATTTTCCCAAATTTGCCTTACATTTTCTATAAACTAAACAGGTGATCAATAATCAACATATACTATAGATTTTAAAAACTTTTCATAGCCACTGTCACAGGCTTTTCTATTAGTCCAGTATGTTGCTATGCCCTGTAGGCCAGTAATTGTTTCTTGACCATCTCTCACAGATGTCTCTCTTCAGTGTCTCAGCAATGTAAGATGGGACAGCAAATGTACAAAATTTTGATAAAGACCCTGCTGCAAAAGGGAAACTTGCTTAATGAACTCCTTTTCTGTCCTGTAAAATCTTTCAATCTTTTTTTGGCATTGAGTCTTCATGTTTGTTTAGACAGACTGTAGCAAGGATTTACAGTGAACCCTACCATGTACAACTGATCATAGTGTGATCACTCACACTCATTCCAAAATTATTGCAATTGTTATGTTCAGCGTAATTTCAGAGCATATGTGTTTTATTTGTTAACAGAAATGCCTCAATATGAATAGATTTGGGGATGTGCAAATAAGACTTGCTCTAAGCTGACCAATTCCAGGTAATATTTGCCTGTCAACAGATGCCAGCAGGGTATTTCATCCACATGCAGATCTCCAGACACACTGGGCACCAACAGCTGTTGTTGCTGACCTTCCTCCTCCCTTTAAAACTCTGGTATTACATCTAAAACAGAAAGAACAGGAAGGAATCTAATCTGGGAAAATCCATTTTCCTGCTTCTTGTTCCTTTCCTCTGATAAAGAAAGGAACATGGTAGCCACAAGTGGGCTGTGTTACAGAGCTATGGCTTAGGCCCAAGAAGATCCTGTTATGTTGGCACATAAACAGCTATATATTAGATTACCACACCTCTGGCTATCTCACAACCAGATCTAGAAATCGCTCTTTTTGTCTGCTTTTAGAAACATGTAGGAGGGAATCATGGAAAATAGCAGCACAAATGTCATGGAGGGCAGTTGTGAGTAAATAAAACAAAGAAGGGAACTTAAATGTCTCTTTCTTATCCCCAGCCAATGTCCTTTGCTACTTTTGTGGATGATGTAATAGTTTGAATCCAATTGTCCTTGCCCCATTTCAATGATTTGAGGCACTCGGGTCACCAGCCATCAGGAGTTGTGTTCACCTCTTTGTTTGCAATTTAGAAAGCAGAGCTGATGCACCAGCATGCAGAGAAACGTCTACAGGAACAGAAAGAAATGAAAGAGCTGGCGGAGCAGGTCATGGAAGGACACAAGAATGTAAAGCAAGTAAAAACAAAGCTCCAGGAATACAAACAGCAGATAGGTATTTATATATTGCCAGAAAAATGAGAGATGGTGCTAAATGTCCCCAAATTACTTCATCTTTCTTTTAGTGGGCCAATTACAATTTTTACAGAGGGGAAAGTAAAACTGAGGGAAAGATCCAGGCTGTACATTCCCATGAATGTATGAATATGAATTCTGGGAATAAGCTGGATAGATCAGAAATTCTAAGCTACTGATCATGGGACTTAGTCTTTGTTTAAATGGGAGAAATAAAGCACTAATGTTCTGCAACCAATTTTCCTTCCATCTAAAAGTAACACGTGATTGACTCTACTTTTTGTCAAGTCATGAAGCTCAGATTCTTGTGATTGATATCATTTTTGCCTGGCAACTGCTGTGAAAGAATCATGGCTCAAGATTATTGTCTTCTCCAGAGAAGGCCATCCAGAGAAGAAGACTAGCTATTTAAAGAAAAGCCATCTTCTAGAAGGACAGTATCACAAGGGAGAAGGATGTAACACCTCCAAGATAGACCAGTGGTTGTGATGAAGGGAAATAATGTTACTCATCCTCCATTATCCTTAAAGAAAATTCTTCAGTTAATGCATTAGCTAATAAAGCCCAGGCTGTTTCACTGACATGGTTGTACATATTTCAATGCAATGTCATGTTTAACATCTACTGTATGAACAGACTGCCTCTAGTTGGGCATATCTTGGTGAGGAGAATTTTCTCTGCTTTTGTATCTCCATACTTATATCCGTAAGGGTTGAAGCAGAAGAGAGTGTTAGCCACTCCAAAATGGACTAGCAGAGCCCACCAGCCTTTGCAATTCAGTGATTTCTAGGATATACATAGCCTGAAAAACTGTGAATATTTTCTATTGTATAATATCCTTTGATTAAATAATGAAATAGTATGCACAGATGAGAACAGAAACTACAAAGCAGTAATTCAAAGTGCCTGTGTATGTATACAGTACATTTATGAACTGAATAGAAGGATAGATAGTGGAGGTGGGAAGTACTCATTTGTTTCTCTAATGATTCCTCCCACCAATGCCAGACTGTTCCCTCAAGTACCTTCAGATCAGTATTATTATCATTATTCACAAATGCATATGAATTTTCCTCCAGATGGAATACTTGTTAAAATAGGAAGATCTAGCTAACAGAGATTAATTCTTATCTTTCAGCTCAACAAGTTTCTGAAGAAAGTGGAGAACTTCTTCGGCAAGCTTTAAAAGAAGAGGAGGAGAAGGCTAAGAAAAGATATGAACTAATTCAACAAATACGAGCTCTTGAGTCTATACCTGGCATCAGACACAAGTTTGTTGACTTAACAGAGGTAAACTCAGAAAGCAGAACTACTGTTTTTACATAAATGTGTTCTGTATATGTTTCACACATTAAGAGGAATCGTGTATTGCATGCAGATATATCACAGTCTGGGTGCATTAAGTACAAAGTGACCCCGTAACACAAAGGTTAGATTTGAAATGGAACTTTCCCAAAGTTATAAACCAAAATATTTTATCAAGAGCAATATTCTGATGGTAAGTGAAAACTTAGTTCCTTTGAACATTCTTTGAATTTTGCCAATAGAATCTGGGTTTCCCGATATCTTCCAAAAAGAAACTAGCAAGTGATTACAAGATGTTCTATCCATATTAACAGATTCAAAGATTTGTCAGTCCTGGGTAAAAACTGAATGAACGCAAACGTTGGACTGAGGTATAGCTGTTCATATTGCAGTGGTGATAGCCATGGTAATTAGCAAAATAAATTTCCTTTGCTTTTAAAACTGTCAGCATTCAGGTATGTGAAAGAGATGATCAAGAGAACCCAAAACCTTCTGAGCTGTTACGTATGTACTGTGCAAATGACTTGTGTGAGTGTGTTTAAGTCTACAGGAACTGTATCTCAAACTTCTGTTGATGCACAACAACTGATATGCCTGATTGGGCTTTGTAATGCCCAGACTTAGGCAACATCCAGAAATCTGTTAACTTACCACTAAATCAGAACTAGATTAGCTGAAAATACTTTTCCATTTTTCTTATCTACACTGAAAGAAGAATAACATAGAATAATGTTAAATGACACTAGCAATTTTAAATCACAGAATCCTTTTGTTTTGGTGGTTTTTTCCTTTCTTTCATGAGTACTCAAATGAAGAACACAAAAAACATCCATGGCTAGTCTGCAGAAATCATACAGAAGGAACAGGTCTTCCTTCCATGGGGCTGTGGTGATGCTTTGGTTTTATCTCCTGCTCCTCTGAATAGAACTGAGCCACTAATCGATTCCAAAGCTACCTGTCTTTGCAACTACCAAATAAATCCCTCATCTCATTTACCAAATTTTAGAATGCATTTAATGTCAAATGTGAAAGAAGTGAACAAGAACGAAATCAGCTCCCCAGACGTCCCATCCTCCGTTACTCTCCTTAGTTGCCTCTATGGCTTCTCCACTTCTTTTCCAGCCAAAAAAGGCAATTCTCTTTTTTCGAAAAGTGAGGAGTACGAAGAATTATTGTACACCACAGATATGGTAAATGCCAAAAGGTAGATTTGTACACTCTGTCAACCCTAAACAGATCCTTTAGTATGGTCTCACTGCACATTTGTTACCCTGATGACTCAGTCACAAAGTGTTGGCTGCAAAGACATAATGGTTTGATATAGTCAGATGTGGAAATGTCATTACTTTTTCTATCACAACTGTAAAATGGTGCAGGGTCTCATTCAGGAAAATGATAGTGACTGGAATGTCAGTACTTTCTTATTTTTGAACCTAGTTCATGTCATTGCATCTTACAGTGGCTGTTGACTCCTCACGTAGAGCTTCCACTGAAATACTGTTTGTTTCCAAGTACAGAATATGGCTTTAAAGACATTTTCCCCTCTAGTTCATCTCAAAAGACAAAGCAGAAAAACACAGCAGGTTTCAAGTCATATATGAAAAATTCATTCAAAAATCAAGTGAAGTTACCAAAATGTAAGGTTGTTGAAAATAGAGTGGCCACACAGTAGGTCAAATCGAAAGTACAATGGAATGGACTTGAATGATATGGATATGTTAGATGGATAAGGAATTGGCTGGTTGGCCACATCCAGAGTTACAGTCAATGGTTTATTGAAAACCAGGAAGGAGTGGTGTCCCTCAAGGGTCCATACTGGGATCAATGCTATTTAGTATCTTCCCTAATGACATAGATAGTGGGATTAAGTGCACCCTCAGCAAGTTTTCAGATGACACCAAGTTGGGTGGTGCAGTTGATACAGTTGAAGAGAGAGATATTGAAAGGCTGGAGGAGCAGGCCTATGTGAACCTCATGCAGGCCAACAAGGCCAAGTGCAACAAGGTGCTGCACGTGGGTCAGGGCAACCCCTGTTTGCCTGTATCAAACGGGCTGGGGGATGAATTGCTTGAGATAGCCCTGTGAAGAAGGTCTTGGGGGCATTGGTAGGTGAAAAATTCAGTATGAGCTGTCAATGTGCACTTGCAGCCCAGAAAGCCAATCATATCCTGGGCTGCATCCAAAGCAGTGAGAGCAGCAGGTCGAGGGAGGGGATTCTGCCCCTCTCTCCACTCTTGTGAGACTCCACCCCGAGTTCTGTGTCCATCTCTGCAGTCCTCACTATAAGAACGATGTGGACCTGTTAGAGTGGATCCAGAGGAAGAATGCAAAAATGATCAGAGAGCTGGAGTACCTCTGCTGTGGAGAAGGGCTGGAGAGTTGGGGTTGTTCAGCCTGAAGGAGAGAAGGCTCTGGGGAGACCACACTGCAGCCTTGCAGTGTATAAAAGCACTTCAAAGAAAGATGTTTTACCAAGGCCTGTAGTGACAGGACAGGAGGAAATTGTTTGAAACTGTAAGCCTTACACTGGGCATAAGGAACAAATTTTTTAAAAAGAATATGGTGAACCACTGGCACAGGTTGCTCATAGAAGTTCCAACTTAAATCACTCTATGATTCTATATCACAACTCCACAGTTCCCTTATACCAACTATTACAATAGCACTCTAGTGAATTAGCACACTTTTGGTGATAGCTTGCCCTGTTTTTCTTTCTTTCTACTAAAGGTGTTTTTTTTGGCTTGGTGAAATTAAGTATTTGTTCATAAAATTCTCACTCCTTCTCATAATTTTTAAAGTACCAGTTCTTCCCTTGATGGCACTTAAGTTGCTTGAACACCAGCAGTATCTACTGCAGGAGTATAGAACTTTTCTTATTTTAGGAACCATTTCACCAACTTCACTGAGTATTTTTGAAATGCAGACATTCAAAATATTCAGCTTCTACCTGTAGGAAAATCTCTTTCCTTGACATTTTTGGCTTCTGCTTGTCATGCTCAAACATTACCACTTACATATAAGCCCTGTTGCGAAATGTTTCCCTTTCACTTCCTGTGGATACAACTTGATGGTCATGGAGGCAAAGTATTAGGGCACTTGCTATTTGCAAATTCACTCTGAAGTGAAATCTGAGAAGGAGATCACAGAATCACAGAATCATGAAGGTTGGAAGAGACTTTCAAGATAATCCAGTACAACCACCACCCCAGCACCATCATTATCAGCCCTAAACCATATCCCCAAGTGCCACATCCAGAGGTCTCTTGAACACTTTCAGAGGCAGTGACTCCACCACCTCCCTGGGCAACTTATTCCAATGCCTAACCACTCTTTCAGTGAAAAAAGTTTTTCTGATATCTAATCTGAACCTCCTCTGACACAAAGCCATTTCTTCTCATCCTTTCACTTGAGACATGGCAGAAGAAGCCAACCCTCACCTCACTATAACCTCTTGTCAGGAAGTTGTAGATGACAATAAGGTCCCCCCTGAGCCTCCTTTTCTCCAGGCTGAGCCCCGCCAGCTCTCTCAGTCGCTCTTCATCAGACTTGTGCTCCAGACCCTTCCCCAGCTCTGCTGCCCTTCTCTGGACTCACTCCAGCACCTCAATGTCCTCTTTGAAATGAGAGGCCCAGAATTGGACACAGTACTCGAGGTGTGGCCTCACCAGTGCCCAGCACAGGGGGACAATCGCTGCCCTGGTCCCGCTGGCCACACTATTCCTGATACAGGCCAGGATGCCATTGGCCTTCTTGGCCACCTGGACACACACACTGGCTCATGTTCACCCACTGTTGGACCCCAGGTCCTTTTCCTCCAGGCAGCTTTCCAGCCACTCTGCCCCCAGCCTGCAGCACTGCAGGGGGTTGTTGTGACCGAAGTCCAGGACCCAAGGCTTTGCCTTGTTGAACCTCAGACCACTGATCCAGCTGGTCTAGATTCCTCTGCAGAACCTTCCTGCCCCCCAGCAGATCAACACTCCCACCCCACTTGGTGTCAGGAAGGACATTGAGGTGCTGGAGCAGGTCAGAGAAGAGTAACAAGGCTGGTGAAGGGACTCGAGCACAAGTCCTATGAGGAGAGGCTGAGGGAGCTGGGGTTGTTCAGCCTGGAGAGGAGGAGGCTCAGGGGAGACCTCATCACTCTCTACAACTCCCTGAAAGGAGGTTGTAGCCAGGTGGGGGTTGGTCTCTTCTCCCAGGCAACTATCAGCAAGACAAGAGGGCATGGTCTTAAGCTGTGCCAGGGGATGTTTAGGTTAGATATTAGGAAGAAATTCTTTACAGAAAGGGTAATCAAGCATTGGAATGGGCTGCCCAGGGAAGTGGTGGATTCTCCATCCCTGGAGGTTTTTAAGATGAGACTGGATGTGGCACTTAGTGCCATGGTCTAGTAACCACAGAGGTAGTGGATCAAGGGTTGGACTTGATCTCAGGGGTCCCTTCCAACCCAGCTGATTCTATGATACTGTGATTCTATCTGCAAACTGACTGAGGATGCACTTGATCACCTTGTCCAGATCATCAATAAAGATGTTAAACAGGACCAGCCCCAATACTGAGCCCCGAGGAACACCACTCGTGACCAGCCACCAATTGGATTTATTTCCATTCACCACCAATGATAAATTATAAATGACCATTTATCATTTCATTTACCTGTGGTGGTACCTATTTTTTAGTTTAAAGTCTGTTCTGGTTTTATACATTAAAAAAGAAAAGTAGTTTTGCACATTTATAAACTTTGAAAGTGTAATTAAAACTAAAAGTCAAGTAGAATTTTTTTTGGAGAGCAAATGTATTTATGATTAATCTTCTGTATCTTTCAATGCTTTTTCTTTAAATATTTTATGATCACACATACGAGAGATAAGCTCTACATTTTAAAAACAGCTTTTAAATACCAGTAACTTTAGGGCCATCCCTATATTTCTGGACGTCAGAAATTCAGCATGCATTGGAACACAATCAAAATGTTCTGGCTTTACTCATTTACTCTCCCCTTGGTATTTACAGTGTTATTTAAACGTATATTTCGTGTTCTATAGACTGGTGGCCATGGTTTATTTTGTGAAATGTCAATAGTGGAACTACGTGAACGCCTCGCTCTACTCAAAGAAGCACAGAAGGCAGCAGAGGAAGAGAAGAGAGACCAGATAATTCATGAAAAACAAGCTAAGGAACAACTTATTCTAGAAAAACTGGACCAGATTTCCCAATTCAGAGCAGAACTTGGACGAGCAGCTGCTTTAAAGTCAGTATAAAACAGCATGTGACATTTAAGACATTGCGACTTTGTTAATATTTTGCCAGCCCCTTGAGGAGAAGAACAAGTAGAGAGCAAAATACTGCCCTTTTGTAAATCAGTGTGACTTTTGTCGAGGATTACACTGGGGACAGGATTTCCTTTTTATTCTTGAAAATAATTTGCATCAGATTTAACAAATCTTTTTCATCATTTATGGTTGAAGACACTCCATAGGCTAGTGTTGACAGTATTGCCCCAGGATTCAGAGCCAATAATATATATTTAGAAAGAAGTTTTGCCTTTCTTCTGTTCCTTTTCAGCTAATCAGAACTAATTTGATGTTATTAGAATCATTCTAGCTTGCCACTTAAAGTGGTTTCTTGTTTTCATCTAAACCAATATTAATGCTGTAGCTTTCTTCCTTGAATATCATCTGTAATGTGAAAAGGCAGGCCTTATTCTAGAAGTTAAAAATACTTTAGGAAGAATATTTTCTGATAGCAATAATAAGTTATAAATTAAATATGGCAGTAGATCAAAGAGGAAATTCTTTGCTTACAGGCTCTCTGATAAAATTCTGCATTTATTATTCATATTTATTATTAATTATTATATTTATTATTCGTTGTCATCAAGGATCCATAACTAACATAGATGCCTCACATATGCAGAAGACAGGTCCCTTCCACAAAGGGTTTAAAATCTAAGTTAAAGCTATTTACAAATAAAGCTGAGCCTGTGTAAAAGAATCAAATGTGGCACACATCTTACACCATTTTTACTGCATCTGGAATATTTGCCACTGTTTTCTTGCAAGTTGTCTTTCACCTTTTCCCTTTTGTGGCTTTGAGAGGTTAGTCCTTATCTTGCTATATGTATTTTGCAAACTGATTTCAGGCTGACATTCTGAAGACATATTTTATCAGGCTACAAATATACGTCTTTAGAAATGTCTTAGATTCATGTTTATGGCCAAAGGTGGCTTCTTAGAGTTCAGTTCATGTTATTGATTAATCATCCAGTTCTAAATCTCAATTACAGAAGGCAGTACTGATGTATTCCTTTAACTAGTTTACACTAGTCTTAGCTCTAATTTGTTTTTTTTGCTGATAGTTAATCTCCAAAGACTTGGGTTTTAGTATGTTAGTACTTAAGAAGATAGTTTAATGAATTTAATGAATCAATAACTGGGGCTGCAGTGGATTGACTGCACAGAACAGTGACCCTCTTTTCTATGACATATATCAAGACAAGATTTTAAGACTTAAGAACTTGAAATGGAGTTGGAGCTGGAAATACACCCTCATTGCTAAGCATTCAATATTGTGAAACCCTGTGGGAGCAACTCAAGCCACTGCTTTCCAGTAGAGACACAAACTGGACATTAGGAATTTGTGTACTACGTGAAACCTGTTTCACTAGTAACTGCTTAAAGAATCATCTGTCCTGCTAGATGTGCAGTCTGTGAATTTTGTATAGCACTGGGTTCCTTTAAACTTTAAACTCTTTGGCTTAATTCAGACCTAAAGCTGTTCTGATCCTGAAATAAGCTATGTTTGAATGAGAAGCTAACTTTGATTCACTTTTTTGTCCTGTCATTTGAAATGTTTTTTAGAACAGAGCAGCATGCCAAAGATAGTAGAATCCAAATGAAGTTAAACACTAAATTTGCAAGCTTCTGGTCAGACTTATGATAAATAATACAGTAATTTTAATGTGCTCTGTTTGCTCTCCAAGTAAAGAAAATATAACGTTTCATTATAGATGTTGTAAGACATTTTCCTTTCATGGCTCCCAGGCAATCTATGTATGAAACTTGGAAGACTCTCCTATAAAAAGTATATAAAAAATGTTGTTCTTTAGGAGTGTATTTCATGCCTTTTTATCTAGAATCCAAATCTCTGGTGTTATTACAGAAATATGGCACGCTGGCCATAGCATTTACAAATGTTAGACACTGAAGCAGTTTTTATTTCTCTCTATAGAAAATACAGACTTAGTGTATTAAACCTTATTTGCAGATCTTGAATTCTGAAATATCTATCAAATCAGTGTGAGAGATTAATTGTTTGGGTTGTTTTCTTGGTACGCTGCACAGGAGATGTAAAAAGCAAATTTTTATGTTTACAGAGTTAATTCATTATAGGGATAGAATAGCAAACCTTACCAATGGTCCTCATAAGTTAGCCCTATGCATCAAAATGAAACTAGGTGTTTATGTCTTAAATTGCATTATTCTGAAGGCTACTGCTAATCAGCTAAAGTATGGCAGCTAAACTTTGCTAAAAAAAGTGCTTTAATGTCCGCTGGAGTTTAATCAGGTCCCTATCAAACAGGTTCCTTTCAATGTCATTAACAAACAGACATACATCAACACAAAAGAAGCACATTGAGCAGGCCTATAGTGAGTTATATTAACAAAACAGGAAATGGAACATGACAAATTACTGAGACATTGGCCTTTAACAGACTGCAAGCCGTGACACCCATCACAGCAGTGGCTTTGTGAGTGCTTGCAGAAACTTAACAATGAATGCAGTTCATATGCAGGACATCCCTTTAATTGCTAGAATTTCACACAGTTTGAAAATCAGCACTGCCATATGAAGTGGATGAACATTTGAGTTCTCAGATTTCAAACTTGAGCACCAGCAGATTTAAGTGTGTTTGAAAACATGCTAATTTACTGAGAAAGAGAAAGAGGACAAGCAGAAGGGAGGGTTATGGATGAACGGCTGTGATGGTCCTATCCAAGTAGAACAAACTTCCTAAAGCAGGTGTTCCCTGGAGTGTCCAGGTCTGACTTAGGGGTTCAAAAGCTTTCTGGATGAGGACTGGAGAACGGAGGCCCATCCTTCAAAACTCATAAGGCACTCTGGCAGCACAACCCTGAGGTACAGCACAGAACTGAGGGAAGGGGCAAACAGCACATGGAGGGGGAAAAAAATAGTGCTATGCTATGGCTGTATGTGGTTGTTCCTTCAGATCTTCAAAAATATAGCCTAGAATAATGAAAAAAAGCTGAATAATTAACAACATAAGGGACTTTGGTTTGGTACTTCACAATATTCGTGATTTCATTGATTTCACAAATTTAAGAAATACTTCATAAAAGAGTCCTGTGTATGTTTGCAGTAAGGAAGTAAGATTTAGTTTCTCATTTCCTACGCTGGTAATGAGTTCTTCACTAGCATTCAAACAGAAGGAGGAGATTTATCAGCAATGATGGATCAGAAATATAAGATGTGAAGAGAGACTTTTAAAAAAGCAAAGCCAGGCTCTTCTCAGTGGTGACCATTGAAAGGACAAGAGGAACATCAGGAAACACTTTTTACTGTGAGGGTGACCAAGCACTGGCACAAGTTGTACAGAGAGGTTGTGGAGTCTCCATCCTTGGAGACATTCAAAAGCCATCTGGACACATTCCTGTGCAACCAGCTCGAGGTGGCTCTGCTTGAGCAGGTTGGACAAGATGACCCCCAGAGGTGCTTTCCAACCTCAGCCATCCTGTGATTCAGTGAATGAACTTTGATTTTACACCCTCATAATCTTTATTTCAAATGAGGAAAACATTGTTATGAATAAAAAATCACTTCCCCACCTAAAATTAGGTGCTTAATAAGTTGATTATTTTGGAAAGGAGTCAGATTTTGAGTGCTTAAATCCCTCACATTAATACAAAATAGTAATCAGTCTAATAGTGTAGAGTTCTTAAATTTCAAAATAATGACTGCCTTAAAAGTGAACTGTTAACAATTAGATACATTCACTTTACTTACTGCAGTAACTAAGAATTATATGATGCAGGACAGAAAAAGGCAAGGAGGGAAGTACAGGGAGACTGAAAGTATGAGGAAACAAAAAAAATGTTTATTGCACTATAAGGAAATCCTGGTTTGGGTTTTTTTAACAAAATGTGTTTATTGCACAAGACTCCATTTTGCAAGGTGAGGTTACAAATACAGTCCCAGCTGCTTAGGTTGATATTCTGGTCCCTAGAGTGGTAAACTCATCATTTTTACTCTATCTCCTACAAGTATTGAGTCAGTTAAGAGCTGTCATACATCTATCTCTTTATACTTTTGATGCAAAGGTGGAGTTTGAAAATGTAAATGAAGAGCAAAATGTAGTTTCTAGGAGGAATCATCTGTGCAAATCCTCAAATTCTCCATTTTTTAAACACAGAAGATTTTTCATAAATTATCACGTAATTTTATATTGAATCTGGATAGGACTTTTCTAACTATGTACTAGCCCTTTCTGACTGGCTGTTACCATATTTCCTTCGGAAATACGTGATATGAGGTGACAGAGATCATAAGAGGTTTTTCTATCTTGAGTCGTGAAAGTTCTCAACTGACCATCACAGAAAACCAGAATTTTAAAATTTCATTTTTCATTCCTTCCCCTCTTGGAGTTTCCATTATGATATGGTGTGGCATCTGAAAATCTATGGGATTGGCAGCTTTTTGGAATAGTGTAGATGACTGGCACATGACTTCCTGTAGAAGAGGACCACATATTACTCTGGGGATAAGGAACTATTTACAATGTTAATACAGAAGCAGCTGCTGCTGCTTCATGATGTTAAACCTCTTGCTGTATTTCCTTTTATTGTATTTACAAGAATCTGGATTTGCACGTAAGGAAAGGTTTTGTTGTTTATTCCCACTGACAAGATTTAATCATCAAGTATTTACATAATACCTTACTGTATTGTTCTCCTATATCCTTTGGAATGCAATGCCTTGATACAGTGCAAGTAGAAATAAACCATGTTCTCAACTAGATTAAGTGATAGTACGTAATTTTCAGATTTACAGAATAGTGTTAAAAATTAATCTCAGTGTAGCAGAGTATATCACAGTATTAAGGAGGATAAGGAAATGTTATCCTAACCAGACAGTATGACACAAGAAGCAGAGAGGTTTGGGAAGTGTCTCAGGAAAGCAACTGGAAATGAGAAGCCAAGCTAAACTGTGTCCCTGATTTAGAGTTCAGTCACATTTTAGAATGTAACAGAGGTCATATCTCCCCTTCATCCACTCCCTGAGGATTTTGGGCCCTCTAGTCTGGAATGGCTGCTCTGAAGAAAATCTGCTGTCATGGAGAGTTTCCTGTTAGCAAAGATGATGCTAACAAGGCAGGCAAAAGCCATCTCTCCCAAGATGAAAGAAGTGTTTGGATCCCTGGAGTCTTGATACAGACACTTTTTTAAGGCAAATTGGTGGATTTAGCCTCAGAAGGAACTTTTTCCTTCTTCCCCATCTGCCAGCTTCTTGAAGAGAGTGTGTCTTATCCTGAAAACACGTGATGTAAGACCCAAGATATAAGGGTAGAGTTCAGTTGTAAAACATTTATTTCCAAGAGGCATCTTGTCTTTGAAACTAGTCCTGCCACTGGCAGAATGACAGTTACAGAATCAGCTGGACAATGCCCCAGTGCCCTCTGCTCTGGGTCATTTGGAGTCTTTATCTGGTTTCCAATAAAAGCAATTGTAATGTTGCACCACTGCACTATATAAAAAGATCTTTTATAAACTATCCCCGCCAGCTGCATCAGATCTAACCTGATTATAAGTTATATAATTATGTGCATTCTTTGGAAGATCTGACACTTCCTTTAGCTCTCAATTTGGCCAGAGAATCACAGCTGATCATGATATAATATTAGCTCTGCAATTTGATCATACTAAGCCAAATTCCAGTGCAATGTTGAATAAATGAGAAAGTTGGGTGTTAAGTGAGTCACTACGTAACATGGTGCAACCTGCATGAAGAAGTTGTGACTAAATTGTGCCAGTTGTGTGAAAGTAAGCAAAACCAGATCAAATGTAAATTCCAGAGGACAGAAAAGTGGCTACAATAGAAGGGGAGGAAAAAAGGAAGACTGTTCAAAAACCTCTCTCTTATGCCTTACTTTTATGCTGCACATGCTGCTATCAATTTATGCTCACCTAGAGCAACTAACCTTAATTAATACATCACCATCCCAGAGATTCTGTGTCTGGGCATTGGGATTACACAGAAAAGAATATCTTTCATTTGCCAAGGAATACAGTGATCAGGATGAATACTAATGACCATATAAGGAAAACTCCATAGCTTTCACAAGCAAAGTGCTGCAGTATTATCTCAGGTTCTGCACGTTTTTTTCTGAAGAATATCATGTCAAGCTTGAAGTACTTCAGATATTGTCATCATGGCATCCTGTGGGAAAAAATTATTCTATATGGTTTAGTAATGCTATGGTGTAAACAACGAGAGGCAAGTTGCAAATACCACATGCAAGTTATATGATTTACATCTGTTTTGAGTCTAGCTGGTTCCCATAAGCAAGAGCAAATTCCTTATTATCAAGGTAATATATGCTCAGATGGATTTATTCTGTGGAATGATATTATTTTGCCTTCTCATTGCTTCTTTTTGATTTTGCAGGCAAGAAGAAAAGAAAAGAAAGTCCCAGTCTGGTGAAAGGCCCATGAAAGATGAACGCATTTTAAACCTGCAGAGGAAGATTGTAGAAAAAAAAATGGAGCGTAAAAAGCAAGCAGGACTCTTAAAGATTATCCCCCAGAAAACCAGCATCATGCCAAGCAAGGTCTGGTTATTACATAAGGAGAAAGGTTCTGCAATAGACCTGCTGTTCACAGACCTTTGCTCAACTGCCAGCACTGGCAAGGGGGGCAGAGGCAGATGGTGCCATGCATGACTGGCAATAGCAACACCCTGCTTCCCGCACAGGCACAGTTTCTCCAGCCACGGCCTTGACCTCACCTTCTTGTCACACATTCTGCCACCACGGAGCAGGGCTCATCCATACTACACCTGCCTTCCCACTCTTATTATCCCATCGAGACAGCATCTTGCCCTCTCTCTAACTCTCGTCTTTCCCAGCTTCCCATCACACACACCTCATCCCAAACTGGGATTACCCCCTCTCTCACCCGAGGTATATTACAGTTCATCATTCCCATGGTTTTGTGGAGTGTTGCAGCTGTGTTTAAGTCATCTTAAACTGGGCAAGCCGCTCACGTTACCTTTCTGTTCGTCACACACCTACTTTGATGTTGACAAGTTTCCCAGTCATGTTAGAAAACAACCCGGGTTGTCAGCCAGCAGGATCAAATAGAAATTCAGTGTATCCTCTGAAGAGGAGACCACTGTATCACCCGCAGTCTGCTCATCTGTGTGTCTTTCCTGCAGGATTCTTCGCAAGGGAACCATTGGAGAGAACTGGAAGAGATTCGGGAAAGACAGTTCAAACTCCTTCAACATGGCTTCATGGCCAGAGAAGCAGCTCAGAAAAGGGCTGCCTGTGTGGCTGCAAGAATTGGAACCACAACCTATATATTGCGCTCTGATATACAGTAAAATACACTTGGAACCAATTCAGGCCTGCTGGAAATCTCCCAATGTACCTATGTACTACAAGGTTGAGTTTTATTCTTTATTTCACCTTGACAGTGTGATTAGAAAAATGTGGGTCTTACAAGCACAATAGAATAAAAATGGGTGTGTTTCTTTATAATTTTATTATTTTATATTATTTTATAATGATATAATGAATAATTACAATATAATGATTTTTTTCTGGTATAATCAAAAGCTTTAAGAAACCGAAACCATATCATCAGAGATCCTACAGCAGAATGGCAAATATCTGGGTAAGAATGTTGAGACCTGTGTTTCTGGTATTGTATAGTATGCCATGGTTTGCTACACTCATCTTCCAAAAGGATAAAAATGAGGGCAAAACCCAAGGAACATTTGTTTACAAATGCATCTTTTCAGAAGGCATAGTCAGCCCAAGGTTCTAACACGTCTTCTTACATGACAGTAACTGCGTGTAAGAGGATCACCAGTTTCAACACTGGTTTTAGAGGATGAGGGAAAATCTGTTTAGAAGGTTTAGGTGATGTGATAGCCTCCAGGAGCCAGTGTCTAGATTCAGTGACCCAGGCAGACCATCTCTCTATTTGCAGATGTAAATCTCTTCAGTATTTAAACAGTGGAAGGAGAACATAACATTGTTTGGTCTCTTTAGGGAGCTGCTTCCAGAAAAAGTCAAAATTCTGTTACTCACTTAGAAGATAATTTGCCCTCTATGACAATTGCTATACTGTGTAAAACAGCCTTTAAATCACAAGACTTATCCAGGCACAAAGCCAAGGAGGATATAAATCGGAATTAAAATCTACACAGCAGTAAGGCTATGTAATGTATTTCCATTTTAACTCAATGCCAGTTACTAAGTGTTTAATTATGGCTATTGCAAATATTTAAATTGACGGAGACTGTCACTGACATTAGAGTCAGGCAGCTGCTTCTAATGCTCTCACAACATTGCATTTCTCACTTTTTATTGCAGGAAGTCTAATGGAATTCTTTTGTTGCCATCTAGCTGTGAAGATCATTTCCACAACCCTCAAGTTGATAAAATGTGTTGTATTTTTCACTCGAAGTAAATGCTATAGTGGTCCACAGAAGCAATGCAAGTAGGGCTCATGCTCCATAACAAGAGTTAAGGAACACAGCTGAGTGAAAAGAAGGAATCATAGAAACAGAACTACAGAGAAAAGGGAACTATGACATCATGTCAAGTAAGGGATTGTAATATCTTTAAATGACAAACCCTTGGTGGCAGGGAGTTTGTCTTCCCTTGTGGTTGTTCAGCATTCTTTTGCACTGTATTCCAGAGCAACAAAGCTAAGTGGTGACTCTAACACCTTGATTTTCCAGAAGCCAGCAATTAACAGCTGACAGTCACAGTCTAGGATGTTGCATAGCCGAATAGTTCTTCTTAAACATTTTCAAGAGAATTTAAAAATGCAAGGAAAAAGCAACATTAAGCAGATAGGGAAGTCATGTGGAAATTTCAAACCCCCATCATACTGCAGGCTTCTTCCCCTGTGATTTTGGACCAAGTTTTCAAAACTTTTACTGAATTGCAATCAAGCTGATTCATAACTATTTCCTTCTCCATATTTTCCCTGCTCTCAAATGAAAGGACTGAGGAATAAAGGAATCTCAATAATCCAGCTGTGGAATTTTTACCTTCAGAAGTCACAAATAGCCCTATTGCTACTTTAGGATCTGGTGCATAAAGTCATCTTCAGATTCAATGTTTTGAGGAATATAAAAGAATGTATTTTGAAGAAAATAACAATACATTCCTATTTTTATATCTATACATCAGTTTTATATCAATGTAGGCTATTGATTTTTTCAGCAAAGGCAGTTCTTGCAACAGAATACACAGAAGAACATAAAAAATACCACCCTCCTCCTGACAAAAGCGTATAACTTGATGCTGGACACAGCAGATCCTATTCAGAACCACTCTGGCCCTGCCTTCTAGAGCACCTTCTCTAGTATTCCTGTTCTAGCAGTGTGTGGGGTACACCAAAACCTGAGGTGACCCAGTGCAGAGCCATCAAAGGCCTGGTGGGACTTGTTAGTGTTGTATTACAAAAGCAGCTGTAATGCCCTTGGAGCCAGGTGAGCTTTGGAGCCACACAGCTATACTCAGACTGCTGCCTGGTGTCTGTGGCAGGGACCAGCCAGCACCTGGTTCTTCCACTCACAGATAATTGAGCAAGCAATGCCTCTACCCTTGCTTCATGGAAACACAAGTGGATGAATAATTCATGATTCATTCATTTACACATTTGTTACACTATTTGCAGCCAAGAAGATGAGCCTAAGTGAACAAGGCTGACTCTGAAATCATCTATCAAAAAAACCCCAACAAACGACAGAGGTTTCACCTGTCTGATCATAGTGACAGACTCATTAAGCAACATTTCTAGTGCCAAAAGCTGCACATTCCAGAAATCTCTCATTCCAGTGTAAATGGTCAGACCACAGAAGCCTTCACATGCCACTATGGTGTAAGGAGGTGTAACAAAGCCCAGATGACCTGAGGAAGACCAGGGGGTTTTGCCCTGTGATAAGCACCAGGCACAGGGTGCTCACCGCTCAGGTAGCATGGTCACTGCTGGGTGGCATTTGGCTCCCTCTTCCACATCAGCCCCAGTAACATGACTGCCAGGCCAGGTAATGCAACCTGCCCTAGAGAACATGATGTTTTCTCTCAGAGAGACAGACGTTTTCTTGTTTAAATGAAACCAAAGACAGTTATGTTGGAATGGCAAGCAAAAATAATACCCAGTACAGACCTCCAGCACTTTTCGCCCAGGGAAGAAGAGAAGTCACCAGGGAAAGCTACAAACAGTCCAATTGCTGGGCACAGGGCAGTAAGAAACCAGGGAGGGACAGATGGTCCTTGCATTAAGGTAAATCAGCTGGAAAAACCCCTTTTTGATGGTGAGGTGAGTTGAAACACCTCTGCCATTGTTTATAATGAGTTACACACTGGATCTGGAGTAATTATGCCATGGGCAACAGGTAACGATCTCCCACGTTGATGGCTCTGATAAATTTTGCTCAGTGTGTTGGAAACACTCTGACAAAAAATAATTTCTTCACAGAAGGGGTGATTAGACATTGGAATGGGCTGCCCAAGATGGTGGAGGCACTATGCCTGGAGGTGTTTAAGGACAGACTGGACGAGGCACTCAGTGCCATGGTCTCATTGACAAGGTGGTGCTCGGTCACAGGCTGGACTCGATGATCTCAGAGGTCTTTTCCAACCTCATTGATTCTGTGACTGTGAAACGTTTACAGAAGACTGGGGGGGGGGAGGGGAAGGGGGATGAGGGGCACCCCAGAGATCACACACACCCTACCTCCAGGTACAACAGCACCACAGAACACAGCAAAAGCGCGGTCAGGGCCGAACTAACACGGGGACTGAGGAGAGCTTTCGAGGGACAGCGACAAGGGACAGCGGGCCCCGACAGCCCCGCACAGGCCGCACGCCCGTGCGGAACTACAGCTCCCAGCACGCCCTGCGGCCGGAGGAGAGGCGGGGCCGCCGGTTAACCCTCCCTGATTGACGTGCGCGCCGACCACTCGGCAGGGTGCGGGGCCACAGTTCCGCCAATGGCGGGCGGGAGGGGGCGGGCGCTGCCGTGCGCGCTGCCGGCCGGCGCTGAGGTGAGCGCGGCGGGCTGGGGGCTCGGCCGGGGGACGGTGGTGGTATCGGACCCGTCCCACTCGCCAGAGAGCCCGGGCGGCAGGTGAGCAGGGGAACGGGAGCGGAAAGGGGGAGGGAAAAGGGGGAGGGAAAAGGGAGAGGGAAAAGGGAGAAGGGAAAGGGAAAGAGGAAGGGGAAGAGGAAGAGGAAGAGGAAGGGGAAGGGGAAGCAGGCGTTCCTGGCCGCAGCGGGGGGAACGGGGGCGATGCGGCCGCTCCTACCGGTACGCGGGGCTGGGCCGGCGCCGCTCCGGCCTGGGGACGGTGCCCGAGCCCCTGCCCCGGGCGCGGCCCTGCCCGGGAGCCGCCTGGCAGGTCCACTCCCCCCCGGGCTCGGGGGGCTCCGGGGCCGTGAGCGGCGCTGCCCGGGGAGCGCGGGGCAGCCCCACCGCTCCTGCCCTGCCCTGCCCTGCCCTGCCCGGCAGGGCCGAGGTGCGGGCACGGCGGGGCTCCCACCGGCTCTGCCCTGTGTTCCTGGGAAGGTGGGTCTCCTCTCCCGCGGAGGAACCGCAGGGGCTGTAGCTGAGTGGATGTAGCTGAGTGAAGTTGGCGCTCTCCCCCCCGGTATGGTTTGACAGGAGGAGGGGAGGGGAATGTTCCTCTTCTGCCTCAGCGCTCCCCCTCTGCACTTCGATTACAGAATGTGGAAAGACTCAACTGTTTTTGTTTTCCTTTCTTTGTATCTGATTTTTGGGACTGTTGAAAGTAAGCTGTGTCCTCTCAGAAAAACTTGTGCAGGTAAGAGCAATGAGGAGCTTTTCTTCTGGCCATTGTCCATCTTTGGTTGCTGTTTCTGAAATAGGACATCTGACCGATGGAAAGGTTTGGTGTGTTCTGTTCTGTGGGTGTTTTAATGTTTTGTTTTTCTTAGGCTGATCGTGAACATGCCATACTTGTCTGTAGATGTAACTGGCTGCTTGGAGTAGGCAGACTGGTGTATCTCTGGTTGGCTGGTTATCTCTCCTGTTACTCTGTTTATAGTGCCTCTCACCAGGCTTTTGTAGTGTGGGAGTGTTTGACCTAATTTGGGTAACACATAATAGATTCAACTTCTGTTTCCAACTGAAGTTGCTGTAGGGCATCTGAGAAAAGGGGAACCTCTTTACAGGTACTGGAAGTACAGGAATATGAAGCTTTGTAAGAGTAAAATATCGGATTAGTGTTCTCTGTGATAAAAAACATAAAAATTAAGACTAGCGCTTTGTGAGTGGCATGTGCATCTTCTGGCCACGGAAATCCTGTTATGCAGCTGCATCTTTGATACTGTGTTTTCTGTTGTTAGTAGTACAAAGAGACATTTTGGGTAGAAATAAGAAGCAAAGTCTTAAAGGCATGGGATAACACCTTTTGACATATTTAGTGTATTCTGGTTTTGTCGGCTGTGCCTTCCACATTTCCAGCGTTTGGATTGACATAATTGCTTCCTTCAAGTAGGTACTTCAGTGTATTTGTTGTGTTTAGGATGATTATGAACTAAAGTCTTGTTTGTGTTAGTCAGACATAGGGAAAATGTCTGTTTCTTGCTTAAGACAATTTGCCTCAATTCATGCTAAGGACATGGGAGACCAAGACTTTGTTTTCAGAGTGGTGCAAAAAAGTTTTCAGTTTATGTTGTCTAGAAAATCAGTTATTTTTGAATGGTAATTCAAACATGTTTAATTAGGTCAACTTGAACTCAGTGAAAGTGTTAATTTTCTTGTGGAGGAAAAAATGTAACAGGAGACTTAAATGAGGAATAGGGGTAGTTACCACTCCTGGTGTAAATATTCTTATTTTAAATGGCTTGACCTTTATTTTTCTCAAGTATCTACCTGTACAGAGAAAGGTTAGTGGATATAGTCTTTAAAATGCTGTTTGTTGTGAGGTCAACACTGCTTAAGCCCTTGGGAGAGCTAAATGATAGGAACAATAACTGCATGTGCAGAGCTCTGCCTGTAAGGGGAAGGGGAGTGGCTTTTTCTGGTACTGTTATCATCCTGCAGTGGTGCAATAAAAAGTATGTAAAAGTTAAAAGTATTTATTGGCTTCCTAAGTTGATCTACTAAGTTTTCACATACAAAAGAAAAAAAAAGTCCAGCTGAAGCTGTGAGTCATTGGATGTGTAGGGGCTGAGAGGAAGGAGGTTGATGCATAAACTCTTTGTATCAGCCACTCTTGGGAGTCTTGCTGCTGGGTGGTTCCATGGTGGCTGCTGGAAGAGGAGTGTATGGGCCTTATCATTTAACTCATCCTCTCCAGTCCTGTGTAGCAGATTGTTTATTAAATTGAGTGGTCCTGATGTTTTGAAAATTGTGAGGAATTCTTACTGATGAGTGTATCTCTTAATGTGCAGTGTGTTTACCTCTGTTCCTGTGCATTACTAGACTTGACCTGTGGTGTATTTCCTGTGCATTGCTAGACTCGGTCTGTGGTGTATTTAAGGAGGCAAACTTTGCTTTATTTTCAGTATGCATTCTTACAGTTCAGGTAGTTAATGTTCAATGAAGTTTCCCAAGTAAGCCAAGAACATGTGGAAATCTGTAGTTCCACAGAAGAGGTTTGTTCATGCAAAACAGAAATGTTGCTGGATCATGAAGCTACTTCCGCAGTCTTAATAAATTCCAGTAGTCTGATTTGCTTTGTAAACATGACTCTCCTGAGGGGTCGTGTTGATACTGATGAGCCTGCCTATGGTGCTTTATTTTGAGGTGGTTTTACAGTGATGAGCTTCCCTATGGGTATAATGCTCAACTTTCTTCTTCAAAGCAGCTCCTGAAGAAGTTAAGGTTTGAGCCATTGCAGGTAGAACGTTTGTGCCTCATATGTACTCTCTGCATTAATTACAAAGAAAGCCTACTGTTGGAAGATTCTGAAAATTAAACCATCTAAATAGCAATCATGCTCTCTGTCATTTAAGTCAAAAAGTGACTGTCTGCTGTTGCCATTGAGGTCTGATACTAGATCCTCTGATACATTTCGTAGTAATCCTGTAAATAATCTGTTCCTTGATATCTTGTTAAAGAAGTAAGTGGATATTTAAAGTGAGTAGGGTGGTCTTAGCACAACAGGTCTTCTATTGTGTATTACTTTGGTTTTCTTTTCACTATAACTTTGAAAATATAAGTTTGTTTGTTGGTTGGCTTCATTTTTTCTTCTGTTTTAGCTCTTCTTTGGCATTTAAGCCACTTGTGGCCAAAGAGAATCTGTGCAACGTTTTTTGTTTGGAGTCATCCTAAGTGTTCCTCCCATGTTTTTAACCCTTTCTAAAGATACTTTGTCAACAAACCATTGCACTGGGTTGTATTTAGTGTTAAATCCTAACAGCACCAGGTCTTGGAAAACCTTCTGGGTATTTTATATCCAAACTTGTGCTGTCTGGTGAATACAATGAGCTTCTTTTTTATCAGTGCAGTTTTGTCAGTGTATCAGGTTGCTCCAAAAGGTTCTGTTTTAAAACAGTTCTAAGAACCTGTAATTAAAAATAAGCTTATATAAAGTTAATTTTTTTGTAATCCTCAGGTGTGTGTACCAACTAACATTTCCCAGCTTTTTAAGATCCCAAGTATTTTTCCAATTCCATATCTGAGGAGAATCAAGGAAAACATCCTTGACTTTCTTGATGAAATAAAACTTTTAAAAGAATCTAATGTCCTAACTTCCTAATGTACCTCATGTGTTGCTGTCTATTGTTTCTTTTGCTGTGCGCAGAAAACTACTTTGCCCAAGTTATTTTTCATTTCATTTGTACCTGGTTGATGAAGATGGTGGCTTGTCTTTCAGAAATTAGTTTGAAACAGCACATGTGCCAGGCTTAGGGATGATTCTCTCCCATGTCCCCATCCCTCATCCCCTGTGCTGTTTCCTTCTCCTTCACCTCCTTCTTCCCTTTGTCTCCTAAAACTTCCAAACCCATGAATAATAATTGTGTGGAACTAGGAACTCCTATAGCACAAAGGAAATGTGCTCACAGAACAGTCCTGCTGTTCCTTTGGGTTTGGGGTTTTTTGTATGAGTGCATCATTAGGCATGGTCTTGTTTTAAAAGTTCTTGTCCTCTATCCCAGAAACTCAGTAAAGTGAGTCAAATAGGCTCTTCCCAAGGATGTTGGTAAGGTTGGCAGAAAAGCTTTCTTTCTTAACAAGTGAAATGAAATCTAGACCTTAAGAACAGTGTGAAGTGTTCAGAGAGAGCTCACACTACCTGGACACAGAATGTTGTGGAAAGGAATGTGTGGGTGAGTCCTGCATTGGGGGAACAAGAGACAAAGTCAGTTCCCAGCTTTCTCTGAGCCTTAGTCTTCAGGTGAGACAGAAAAACTGTACATGTCAGTTTAGATTCCTAAAAGGAATTGGTTACTGAATAGGTTCGTAGTAGGAGGGGATGTTACACATAACAGTTCTGAAAATGAGATCTACTGTGACCAGAATCTGCCTGTGGACTCACTGAGCATTAAGTCTGGCATGTAGTAAATGATTCAGCTGGGGGGGAGAGGGGGAAGACATGTTGACTTTAATTGTGGCTTTTGTGCCAGTTTTAAAATGAAAAAATGTGAGAAAATTGCTGAGTGATGTGTTGCTTAAAACTATACATAAATGTATCTCTGGGCTTAGTAATAAATAACAAATTTAGTGTAAGCATTTTTCTCAAGCATTTTCTCAAGTTTTGTTTTAAAATATTACAGTTCAGTGTTAAGGGGTCTCTTAAGAAAGTGATTTATGAAATAGAGAGAGTAAGTTGAAGATGAAAAACATCAGTCAGATTTCCTTTAATTCAAGGTTAGGATTGACTACTGG